TACTACAGTGCCTGCACTGAAGTGATGTGACCAAGAGCAACAGCTTGCAAGTTGCTGAGCCATTTCTAGTGGACTACAACTTAATTCTCCTAACTCCCAGCTCACTGCTTTTCCCAACACACACTCATCAATGGCTCTTAGTTCTACAAGGATCCAACCATTTCTGTACATTGTCACTTCTACAATATAATTCCTATAAACAGCATTGGGAAGAGCTGCCCCTCCATCCTTACCAGAGGAGTTGTAGCTTGCACATCCATATACAGAGGTCGCAGCACCGACTCCACCTCCGGAGCAGTGGCTGTATCTGAGGGAACAGCAGACTGGGGAGCATGGTCTGCAACTGACAAAAATATGGAACGGAGTGGCCAGGTGAGAGAGGATGCAACTATGGACACAGTCTATCCAAGACAGCAGAAGGTAAAGGCCGGACGGAGGTGAAATAAATTTAAGGAATGCTCGGCTTGAATCTTAATGAAAAAGGCAATAAGACATCATAGGATTTGAACAAACTGTAAAAGGAGGTAAGGGACAGGGTTCTTCCAGGGGGATGTTGGGACTATTCAAATTGCGTCCTTGGGAGTGGGGTGGGCTCTGAAAGGACAAAGCCATTTAGAAGGAATGTGGAGACACAGTAGATAAGATCTCCTTTAAAGGTCACTGGCTGGACGACTAGCATCCCTAAAAGTTGGCCAGAAGTCTGAAGGCCGAGCCTCAAAGGCTCGGAGGGCCTGTGGGATAGGACGTGAGGGGGGTCGCGGCGAAGCCACTAAGAAGACCGCCTGGGAAAGTCAGAGGGGTGAAGCCAAGGGGGAAGGTCAGAGGGTCTGGGTAGCGAGCGGAACAGGGAGGCGACGGCATATTCAGGTGCGTCGCTGCGCAGAGGAAAAAGGTTTGCGCCTCCTGGGAGGGTGGCAGCGAGAGGGACTCGGGGCGTACCGCGCAGGCGCAGACCCCGAGTGGGCGCCTCAGGCCTCGGCCCCGCAGCGGCGGGCAAGGCCGCAGACACCCGCCTCCAAGCAATCCGCAGCAGCATGGTCCCGGAGGCACAGCCCCTCGCCCTAAGCGGCTGCAGTCCTTAGCTACAGACGCCCGGAAGTACTGTTCAGCGCCCCGGAAGCGATTCCTCGGGCCACGAGCGCGCTCCGCCTCGCGTTCCGTGTGAGACGTAGAGCTGAGCGACCGAGGCCACGAGCGAGGTGAGGTGGGGGCTCGGGGTTCCGAATCCTGAGAGGGTGATGGAGTCGAGTTACATGCTGATTTTCTTTTCCGAACTCCCTGGAACCCTTAGGCCCGCTCCCCACCCCATTTCCCCTGACCTCGCCCGACTCTCGGGCTGGCGGCCAGGCCTGCATTTCCTTGATCCTCGAACCCCGCAGATGCCGGTGGCCGTGGGTCCCTATGGACAGTCCCAACCAAGCTGCTTCGACCGCGTGAAGATGGGCTTTGTGATGGGTTGCGCCGTGGGCATGGCGGCCGGGGCGCTCTTCGGCACCTTTTCCTGTCTCAGGTGAGGGGCGCGGGTGGTGACCTCTGGGCGGGGCTACCGGACCTTCCCGCCCCGCTCCCCTGGGCCAGAAGCCTGAACAGAGCCTAACGCGTTCCAATCTTCTCGCTGTCCAAAGAGCGACACCGATTGCCTGACCACCTTCAGTGTGGAAGGACAGGTTGGGATCCTAGGTGCTTGACAATGTGAGCTCTGACTTAACCCCCTCTCTGTCGCTGACTCGTTCTGTAACTTCAGACAAGTTGAGCCTGGTTTTCCTCAAGTGGAGATTGTCAGTAACGTCTACCTCTTAAGAGTTGTAAGAATCAAATTTGGCACAGAATCTGGCACATATTAAGTGTTCAGTAAATGGTTATTGCTGCCGCTGCTGTTATTTCCAATTTCACATCGTGAAAGAAAGTTGAGCAGTTTTACTGTACTGGGAGCTGGATGTAGAAATGTCATTTTCACAGGTAGTATTGTTCCCTATTTTCCAGATTGTAAATTACCATTTACTGTGCACTTTGTGTGTCAGTCGCTGTTAAATGCTTTATCTCAATTCTGTGAATGTTATAAGCTTTTTACACAAGACAGCCTGTAAAATGACTCCACACTTTCAACACTAAGGAATTGTCTAAAAGACAGCTGTTGTTATTGGTTCATATATACATGCTCTAGAGGTAAAACCAGCACAGAGAAAATGATTTCTATGTACTTGACACTGTATTTGCTGCCTCCCAGAAACTAAAGGCAGTTAGTCTGTGATAGATCCTTTTCAACTTGTCATTACCCATCCCTGGTGGGAGGGGATGTCTTGCCAGACTTCTGGAGTGCTTGCTTTATTAGAAGCACACATTGGAATACGGCAGTAAATGCTTCTCCTCCCTGTAGTGTTTTTGTTCGCAATTGGCCCCATTTTGGTTTCCTCCTCTCTCAGGATTGGAATGCGGGGTCGGGAGCTGATGGGCGGCATCGGGAAAACCATGATGCAGAGTGGCGGCACCTTTGGCACATTCATGGCTATCGGGATGGGCATCCGATGCTAATCAGGGCAATGGTTGCCCACATCTACCATCAGTCCCAGCCCATGTACTATAATAAAAAGACTGAGTAGTCTGTGTGTGTTGGAGGCATTTTTTCTTCTCATTCAGCCTATTATGCAGCTTTGTTAGAGATTTTCTGAGGTGGGCCGAGTAGATCTTTATCACTAGACTTGTATGTTAGATCCAAAGTTATAAAATTTTTCCATGCCGGAACCTTTCATAGATTCTAGTCAGCTATTACTTAAACTTTTGTCAGTGCTATCAAAACCTTTTTAAAGGTGATAAACTGAAGCTACAAGTTGACTTCATTTCCTCAAAGTCACAATTTAAAGGGGGGATTTATTATTCTTCCATTGGTTTTGAGACTGAAAAGAGAACATCAGTGTGAGAGAGACATCAATTGGCTGTCTCCTGTATGACCCTGACCAGGGCAAGGATTGAACTTGCAACCCAGGTTATGTGCCCTTGATCAGAAATCAAACCCAAGACCCTTCAGTTCATGGGCCAACACACTAACCACTGAGCAAAACAGGCCAGGGCAAAAAGGTTTTATTTTTTATCCTCACCTGAGGACATTTTTCTTTTTTTTTTGTTCAGGTAGAGTGGGAGGGGGAGAGAGGAAGAGAGAGAGAAAAATCGATGTGAAAGGGACACATCGAGCGGCTGCCACCCACACGACCAACCAGGGCCGGGGACAAACTGCAACCGAGGTACGTGCCCTTAGCGGGAACCGAACCCGGGTCTCTCGGGACCGCAGGCCGACGCTCTAACCGCTGAGCCAAACTGGCCAGGGCCAAAAAGGTTTTATTTTAGATGCAACGTTTATCCAAAAATTGTCCAGATATTGCTTTTGGCTTGATCAGAGACTCAACTATCCACTGTGAAGCAAAATCAAATCACTTACTTTTGTAGCTTCTCAACTAATTCAATCCCAGACGATTCTCTATAAATTGTATAAACTGATCCCCATCCCCCCACAAAATTGTTTTAATTGGTTAGGTTCTTAGTAAATGAGTTAAATGCTTACCCTCACCTACTCCGGCCACAGAAACCTTGCTAGATTTTGCTATAAACTGCATTCTCCATTAAGTTGTCAGGTTTCTAAAAAAATGGTAGTTAAGAAACTAGACATATTTTGCAGTAGAAATCAAGGACAGTACCAGAATAGCAACTGCAGCTAAAGATTTTCCAGAGTAGGATGCTATCTACCTGAAGGGTTTCACTCAAAATGGCAATTTGCACTACTTTTTATGCATTACATATTCAAGTTGCCAAACTTGTTTGTTTCATTTATAATCTTAACTTCATTCTGTGGTGGTGAGCTAAATTTTATGCCCTTATATAATAAAGACCTATGGCCACCTTTGCTGGCCCAGTTCCTTGGACAGAACCAGGGCTTAATTCAAGAACAAAGAATTTGATAATGGATACTTTGGAAAGAAAATAACATTGACAGTATCAGTCAGTCCCAACACTGCTGCCATGTTGAAAATATAAAGTTAACTTTGATCTTGAAGCTTTTCTTCAGGTTAAGTAACTGAAGCTTAAATTAAGGAAGCAATTTTGGACTAAATACTCTACTCATCAAAAGGATTGGTAGATATTAAAGCTGATTAAATATCTTGGCATCTGAATAAATGTAACATAAGACTTGTGCCTTACTGCTAACAAATCAATGCAGTAGAAACAAATTAGGTAAGGAAATCAGTATTTGAAGGTAATTATTCCTCATTAGGAGCAACACTGCCTACCCAAAGGTTCAACCTAGACACAGCTTGAAGCACATATAGTTCAGAGTATAAATGGTTGAAGGCCCACCACCCATGTTAAAACTCAAAACCCCATAATAAACTAACAAATGTTGCTCAGCTGGTGTGGCTCAGTGGTTGAGCATCAACCTATGCACCAAAAGGTGGCTGGGTTTGATCCCCAGTCCACACATGCCTGGGGTTGTGGGCTCCATCCCCTGGTAGGGGTTGTGCAGGAAGCAGCCTATTGACGTTGATGCTTCTCTCAGATGTTCTGATCTCTCTCTTTAAAATAAAAACAATCAATAAACATTAAGTAACAAATGCATTAAGTCAGGGAAATCAGTTTGAACTAACTCCATTATTTGTTCAGTATTTACTTTGAAATAATAATGCACTTTCCCACAAAGATACTCAGAAAACACAGCAGACTTAACAATGCCCAGATTTAAGGCTAGGATGAATTTGGTTTCCTTTTTGGTAAATCCCTGTTTTAATACATTATCCTAAATAAGTACAATGCCAAGATATAGTGATATGTAGGAATGTAGAGACAACTTGAGGGCAAGACTTTATCCAGACTCTAATAAGAATTTTCCCAAAGAGGCAAATACCAAGTAACAAAAATCAAAGAAACTAATACTCTATTTTCATGTTTCTGTGACTTTAAAACATTTCAAAAATGAAGATTTCTTGTGGCCTTTTTAAGAGACTTTTATTTGAGTGGTTCTTACAAAGATTGTTGCAATATGAAAGTCATTTGTTTGATAGAAATATCAAGCTGTCTTGTCAAACACACTGAAGTAACCCAAAAATATATTTCAGAGCTCACAGAGCTTAAAAAGAGCAAAGATTATATGCAACCAGACAAAACCTATTTCTGCATTTCCTATTTCTTGCTCAGACTGCTTTGCTTACCAGACCAGACTGTTACTAAACATTGTGAGGAAATGCAGGGATCATTTTGTTTGGAATCGTAGACACACTAGAACACGTATTTACAAAGAAACTTTTACAGATACATTAATTGAAAACATACCATTCAGAAATGTAATTTTGAAATAATTTTCTTGCCAATTGATCAGAGTGCAAAATGAGATGTTAATCAAACAGCCATTTAGCTGTCTTGAATTTCCATATACTAAATGTGTATTTCAGAAACCTCTGCTAAACCATTATCCCATATCAACACATTAGTGAAATGTAACTGCTGTGTAAAAAGTTAGGCTTCTGAAATGAAACATTAAAAACATTATATCCCTGTCTGCCTTTTTACATTAAGCACATTTGTTCCTCTAGAACTATTCCTATATATCCTTAATGTAATTTTCTACATGTACATTTAAAAGGCAGAACAAGAGAACAGTTTTGTATACAGTGGGATTTGCTAGTTAGGGAGAATGAGCACACTGCATTCCTGTTAACATTTTTATTTTTTCACGGTAACAGGAATTGTATACAAATGACAGTAGACCCTTGCCTCTTTATTTTTATCTAAATAAAAGATAACTCAAGATGAGTTCTCAAGAAAGAAAAAGAGCTATGTACATAAGAGACTATATCTTCCTTCATCGTCTACTTGGAACCAGTAGTTGTGTTGCTGTCATAGAATCAGGAAAGAGGTTGTGATAAGTTGGAAGAGGTACATATGCTGCTGTTATCATTTTACCTGTTGAAAGAAACAGATATTGGTAGTTTAACATCTTTGCTTAAATTAATCAGAAAATCACTGGGGGGTTGGGGGGTGGGTCAAACTCACCAGCAAACCACCTGCCATGCAATGCATTGACAGCAGCAATGGCTGCAGCAATTGATGGGCACTTCACATACACATTGCCCTAAAATACAACAAAAAAAATGGTTAAGGGCATTGCCATAAACAGCATGAATTTGAATAGGTGTATTCAAGTTTCCTGTAGAAAACTCAATAATCTGTAACTACATCGTTTTACTAGCTAATATGTACACCTAGAATTTTATTGGAAATGTTTTACTCTCCCAAAGGCTTGCTTGTCCATATACTATCTTTTATGATTTTAAAGCTTCTGACGAATGAATTAAGAGGCCAGAATTTCACAGCCAAGATTTCAATGAACTAGCAACACTACTAATCTAACCCTGAATTATTTTGAAAGTATCTTTATTATGAAGCGTGTTTATTCAGTCGGTATACTAAAGCTTCTTTCAGGAAAAAAAAAAAAAAACCACTCTAAAGAAAGACAACGATCATAATATAACCCAAGTATTTGTGAAGCTTAAGACACAGAACAACATTTTTGCTTATTTAAAAGATCAAAATACCTGAGCTGAATTTTTGTCAACATAAATATGAATAACTCCTCCATGTTTATTACATTCTTCAATAACATCATCCTTAATCTCTGTATCCCATCCAACTTCTTCTTCTCTGTAAGGAAGTTATCAAGATTTATTAGACACTGTTCTAACCTATAAAATATTACATACATTTTCAATTGTATAAAAATCAAACATTCTTTCAATTTAGAAAATTAGTGCTGTTAGCAGGTACAAGGCACTAAAGAAAATAGGATATAAAACACTTTCTAACCAAGCTTATAAATTTTTAACACTGTCATTTAAATAGTTCGTTGACATTTTTCAAATGATACTTACACTAAGAGTTTAGTACGATTTCACAGACAAAGCTAACACAAGAATACAAGTCTCCAAGACTATATCTATATCTATGGTAAACAAATAATATAATTGCAAAAATTATCAAAGTTATTATATGAAACGTTTCCTCAAATATAATGGTTAATTTATCAAATTAAGTGGAAAACAAAAACCAACCTTATTAGAATATATTATAATCATGATTTTTTTAAAACCAAAAAGATGTGGCCCAATTAATAAATGGCATTCTAATCACTGGGCAGAAAGTAAAAAAAAATATATTCCTACTCCACAGCAAGCACTAATCAAACAGAAAATTTGAAAAGGTAATTTTCGGCTATTAGACAAAATAAGCTTAAAATTTCCAAGCCCAGAAGGCAAAATGGACTGGTGACCAAAATAAATAGAGATACAAAGGTTACAGTAAGCTTCTTAGGAAAATATATCTGCAGAGCTTTCCATTCCAATCTTACAAACACACCAAAGAAAATCATCAGCCCTGGCCGATTTTGCTCAGTGGTTAGAGCGTTGGTCTGCGGACCAAAAGGCCGCAAGTCCAACTACTGGTCAAGGGTAGGTTCAGGTTCTATCCCAGGCCCTGGTCAGGGTTAGGGTCATGCATGAGGCAAACAACGTCTTTTTCTCTTTCCCTCCCTCCAATCTACCTAAAAATCAGTGGAAAGTGCAGCCGATGTGGCACAGTGGTTGAGCATCGATCTATGCACCAAGAGGTCTCTGGTTCAATTCCCAGTCAGGGAACATGCCCAGGTTGTGGGCTCGATCCCTAGTGGGGGGCATGCAGGAGGCAACCAATTGATGTTCTCTCATCTATGTTTCTCTCTCTCCCTTCCCCTCTCTCTAAAAATCAATAAAAAAAATTAATGGAAAAATATCCTCAGGTGAAGATTACTAAGAACATTATCATCAATGTGCATAAGAATTGTGCTAAAAGGATCTCAACTGTTGCACTGTTTGAACTATGAAATATATGGAAACATCCTAGGTGTTTAAACTTAACCAAAGTATATTACTTACGTTTGAGGGTTAAACATGTTAGAGAGTTGAAAACACTGTGTTGCAAGAGGCTGAACAGAGGCAGCTGCAGCTAAAGCTGAAGCTAAAAAAAAAAAGAGAGGAAAATTAGTTTCATGGAAAATGCATCACAATAAAACAAAACCACAAAACAAACTAAACCCAAAGTATGAAACTGGGGTATTATTAACCCAGCCACTTCACTAATTTACTTTATTTAATAATACTATCCAACTATGTAACAGTACCCCATTTTAGTTGCCAGAAAACTAAGGCAACATTTGAAATGGCCAATCTTAAGAAACTTGGGAGTTTTATTTTTACAAGAGAAATTAACCTTTACATATAACCAAAATTCAATGACACAAATACCAATATAAATCAATCTAGAAAGACAAAGGATAAAACTGAAGATTGACTTTATAAAACTACTGGAGATTATACCCTGAGAAAACAGGAATAATGAAAATACTATATTAAAAATGCCAAATTAAGACCCTGGCTGGGTGGTGCATATGATTAGAGGGCCATCCCAATATGCCAAGGTTGTGGGTTCGCTCTCTGGTCAGGGCACACAAGAAGCAACCAAGGAATTCATAAATAAGTGGAACAACAAATCATTGTTTCTCTCTCTCTGCTCCCCCCCAACCCAACATCAAGAAATGAAATAAAATGAATTAAAATGCCAAATAAATCTGTACCCTGTTGTATTTCTTAGGGTTCTGCCAATGAACATATGTATAAAGTTTTAAAATACAGACATTATAAAAAAATTAAGTCTTAAAAATAAGACACACACAACCACTCAAGCATTCAAGATTTAACATCCTAGTATTATAAATTCTATTACAAAATCAAGTAAGTATCTTGAAAATGATTAGGTCTGTTCTACACAGGAAACACTAAAAATACACTATAATCACTGTATTAAATTTTTAAAAAAACTGCCAGGCCAGTGTGGCTCAGAGTACTGAATGATGGCCCATGGACTGAGAGGTCCCAATTCTATTCTCGATCAGGACACATGCCCGGGTTGCAGGCTTGATCCCCAGTGGTAGACCTGCAGGGGGCAGTCCATTGATACTTCTCTCTCACACCAATGTTTATATCTCTTTCTCTAAAAAAAATAAAAAACATATATAATAAAAGAAAACAAACCTGGCTGGTTTGGCTCAATAGTTAGAGCTTCAGCCCACGGATAGGAGAGTCCCGGGTTTGGTTCCCACTAAGGGCACATAACTTGGTTGCAGTTTGTCCCCGGCCCCAGTTGGGTCATGTGGGTGGCAAACTCCCTTTCACATCAATGCTTCTCCCTCTCCCTCCCTCTCTCTCCCTCCCACTCTATCTGAACAAAAAATGGAAAAATGTCCCCAGGTGAGGATTAAAAACAAAAAAGATGAAAACACTACTCAACACTAACATTTAAGTTCAACATTTAAAGCCCATATCGGTTTTAAGTTTGAAATGAGAACATTCTCCAAGACAGCTGCTCCATTGTTTTTTGTATGTTTATAAACATTACCATTAGCTGTTAAACAAAACTCACCGTACTCATAACATTTGACCAAATTTCATTCCAATACATAACAACAAAGCTAAGAATAAAACAGTTCATTAGAAATTACGATACTTAAATGTTCACCTGAGGAAGCATCAGACATATTCCACTGAATAAAAATTATGGCTATGCATGAAATACATCATAAAAAGATAACTTTCTGATAGAATTACAAGCGCTAAATACTTTTTACTTCAATAAATAGTTTTCTTCCATACAGCTTTATTTTAAAATAAGAACACTAAAGTAACATATCTAATTTTATTGGGGAAAAGTCAAAGATGCAATCATGTTTATATTACAATTAAAAAATAAAGCCTGTGTACTGCATCATAAATGGAAGTATACTTGAGATAAAATTATGTCATTACAAACTAACTGAGAACTTTCTTCTTCCACCTCCTCAAATTAACTATGATAATATACTATGAATACTGAAAAATATTTAGAAAATGTACGACAGAAATATTCAAGCTCCACCTAAATGAACACAATAAATTCAGCAAAAAAACATATTTAATAGAATAATCCACTAGTTCAACTCTTAAACATCTTTTAGGAAAAAAAGGATTGAGTACAACTGTCCCATTTGCTGGAAAAATTATACATTCAATTCCTATCAAAGAACACAGTAGACCTTTCTCATATAGAAATCATTTCCCCAAACAACTTTCATTATACCCTAGAAAAGATGGACACTCAATTTGCTCAATACCAAATGACTATCAAATGGGAGATATTTATGTGGTAATTAAAAACAAGAATAGAACACTTTACAAATCATTTCAATCTAAATCTGCATGCAATTTTGCTATAGATAACTTTCTAATTGCTTGGTACTATATACACAAATCACTGGAATTAGTGCCAGCTTTTTCTAACTCTATGTTCTGAAAGATTTGTCTATCTAAAAGACAAATTCCATTTTCTGACTTCTGTGTAAAAAACTTAACGGTCACTACACAAAAATAAGCATAAAATGCCTAAAATAATTCTAAGCAAGCTAAAGCTAAAAAAGCACAAATGGTTTCATTTATCCATGCAATTGTTAATTACTTGAATTAGGCTGTCTGAAACATGCATACATTAGCAGATAGGGGTGTGTGTGTGTGTGTGTGTGTACCACTATGTCATTCCACTAAAACTGAGTCCAAAATAAAATACAATAATAAATACAATGTAATAAATATATAAACAACTATGTCTTGCTATATATACATTTATTTCAAAGAAAATTAAAAGCTCAACTCACCTTCAGTCTGTTGGGAAAGTCTTGTTTGCAAATCTATAACAAAAGAGAATTCTACAGCTCAGTGCAGGAACAATGAAGAGCCTCAACTAACAGGGTAAATGTCAGGAAAGCATTAATAAAAGAGGACTACTGTAGCAGGGTTCATAAAAATGAACTTATAGTAAAACCTGGCAGCCAAACCTCCTTCCCCATTCCTCATTGGCAAGGCTTTGGGGCCTTCTTCTTTCCTCCTATCCTAGGAAACATACTTATGCCTCTCTTCCTATTCCTAGTAAGTACACTTCCACATCGCAAATGCATTCCACTATACTACTCTGCAAAAGGGAATAATGGGAAATGGGGAAAGGGAAGCACACCGGTCAGAAAATACATGAAAACCCTGATCTTGAGAATTCAATTCCAAGTACTTGGGATATTCAACTATTATTTATTGTCTCACCAATGGAAATAAGCATTTTAAACTTAATAAAAATTGTGACCCCTGTAATAGTACACACCAAACAGCTGCAAACACTTTAACTAATCTACAAATTAAGTAGTAAGAACACCACCAGTGGAAAATTTATATATTAGTTTTTTAAAGTGCTTTTAAAATGAAAGAGAGACAAGTCCAGGCCAGAAGATGAATTTTATTTGGACCTGGTTTCATGTTCTAGTCTACAAATTTACTGAGGCAGAAATGAAATCTAATCGGGTTTACTACAATCTATGAAATAAAGGAAAAACGTACGCACCATATCAGTATTAATAATAAAGAGAATGAAAATTTTTATCAATATATTTTCTATATAATCATGAATCTTCTACATTGAAAGGCAAGAATAAGCTATCCATGTGAAAACAGCAGCAAGTCTGAATAGTAAAGAAAATGTCAGTGTTGAAAAGCTATCATGTTCAAAAGTTACAGAAATATATATACAATATAGAAATTGTTTAAGATTCAGTAACCAATTTTAGTTAACATGTGATTCAACTATATCACTTATTTACCATTTGGGTTTCTTGCTGGGTACATCAAAATGATCAAAACTGGATCTGCACCCCAAGTTATATGGGGAAATAAGTATACCTAGGATCCTAGCTGCTCAAAATTGACATTTCAAAGAGTTGAAGAAATTTAACTGGTGCATAATGAACGACCTTGAAGATATGACCATAGGAACACTGTCAATAAACTTTAAATTATACCACAATTTGTCTTTTACCCCTAAAATGGGGAAAATGTATAAATATAAAATATCCATGTTATTTTAAGTGTATATAAATACTTATAAAATTTTTCAAAAATGAAGGTGACTTTGTCACCAAGACTAATTTGGAGGTTGCCAAGAACTGGTTTTAAATTGTCTTCAAGTCTGACCAACAACTCTAACGCTTAAAAACAATAAGATACAAACACTGAAAAACATGTTTTCTTTTCAGAAAAAAAAACATCCAATTTTTCATGTCATTTGTTGTGACATTAGAAAATACAGAATGGGTTTCATAAAGATAAGGATCCTATCTGAGGACGAATCTGTTAAACTTTCAGAATAAAAACATGTGGAACCCAGACAGAGTGGCTCAGTTGGTTGAGTGTTGTCCCATGCAACAAGAGGTTGCAGGTTCAATTCTCAGTCAGGGCTCAACCCCCAATAGGGGAATGAACAGGAGGCAACCAAATCACTGTTTCTTTTACTCTCTCCAGCTTTCTGTCTCTCAAAAATCAATAAAAACATATGAAAACAAAAAAGCATGCGGATATTAACAATGAAGTTTTAATAATGACTATGTGGAGAAAAAATATCCAGCTTCATAAATATTTACCTATAAATTAAATATTAACTCAGTAGCAGATCAATTTATGGAAGTGTAAAAAAAAAATATTAAACTTTAAAAATACTGTCAAAAAAACACTGAAAATGGGGAATTATAACAAATACACAGATAACTAAGTGACTCTTTTCAGCAACCCATGTGGATGTTAAGAATTTTCATTAATCCCAATCGGCCAGCCTTAATACAAGCACAGAGAGTGTAGCAAAAAGGTGTGGTCATACACCATGCATGACAGCAGAAATAACAACTGAGAGTAGTAGGGATGTTTTACATTGAAAAATCTTCAATTATGTGAACATTCTGTTTATGAAGACCATATCAACATATATACCATCTAGGATACAACCTAAGATTGTTTAGAAATCAACTGTATGTCAACGAAACAAATCCCCAAAGGCAGGGAACAAAGCTTATTGACTAGCCTATCCTTTACTAAAATACCTAGAACATGGCGACAATCAAACTTTTCCTAAATTATTGAAATGCTAACCTGAACAATGGAAAGCAACACAAGAATAGTCTTTAGATTAAATAATTTTCAAACCACAGACAACAGATTATTTCTGGAAGCAATGGGTTTCCTTTAATAACTTCAATGAAAGCAACTGACTTGTATGAATACTTGCTCACTATAAAAAAATTTAAATACCTAACACCTATTTAAAATGTCAAAACAAATACGGAAAAGGTTCTGAATTTTCCTTCTTGTAAGGATACACTCGTCATGTTTTGCCAGAAATTTTAAAGAATATCTGCCCTAGCCCTGCCGGTTTTTGGCTCAGCAGTTAAGAGCATCAGCCCGCAGACCAATGAGTCACAGGATCCATTCCAGTCAAGGACACGTACCTCTGTTGCAATTCCTCCCCAGCCCTGGTTGAGGTCATGCGGGAGACAGCCACTCAATGTGTCCCTTTTACATTGATGTTTCTCTCTCTCCCTCCCACTCTATCTGAATATAATTAGAAAAATGTAGAGTTAAGATTAAAAAAAAAAAAAAAAAAAGGACCAGCCAGTGTGGCTCGGTGGTAGAGGACAACTCATGCACCAAGAGGTCACTGGTTCGATTCCCAGTCAGGGCACATGCCCAAGTTGTGGGCCAATTTCCCAGAGGGGGGCATGTAGAAAGCAGTCAATCAATGTTCTCGCTCATCCATGTTTCTCTCTCTCTCCCCCTTCCTCCTCGCTAAAGATCGATAAAAACTTTTAAAATATAATAATGAAATAAAATAAGAACATCTACCAATCAGATTTCAATATAAAGTGCAAATTTGACAGGAAGCACAGAAAACTAAGACAGGTTTTCTAAAGGTACCCTGACAAACTTTTGGAAATACACTAAATAGGAAAACATTGAAAAGCTCCCCTCTAAATTTTGAAGGATAGGAAAGTAGAAATGGTCCTCTCCATTAATTAGATAAAAAAGCCATGAAGCAACCACATGGTCTTTTTTTGTATAGATTCAATACCATCATATCTCCTATTTCTTTTTGAACCATTTTTTATTTTTGTTACAGTTGTCATCCAATTATTTTATTAGTTTGAGATGTATGTATCATACTTTTTACATACTGCACAGTCTCCCTCTGTAGAAATCGACATACTTTCTTGGAGTAAGTGCTTCCTGTCATACAGGGTTCACAAAACAAATGTTTCTTATACGTTCTAAGTCTTCAGCCCTGGCTAGTTTGGCTCAACAGTTAAGAGTCGGCCTGCGTACCAAAGAGTCAACAGTTGGATTTCTGTCAAGGGCATATACCTCAGTTGGAGTTCGGTCCCAGGCCTTGGTCGGGGTCATGTGGGAGGCAACCAATCCATGTGGCTCTCTCACATCAGTTTTTTTTTTCCTTTCTCTCTCTCTCTGTCCCCTCCCTCCCACTCTGTCCTAAAATAAATAGAAAAACATCCTCAGGTGACGATTTAGAAAATTGTAAACCTGCTCTTTAAAATAAAAACCAAGTCTTCAAACTTCCAAAATTAAATGTTATCCTAGCTTTCGGCTAAGGTCAAGGTTTATAAAGACAAATTCGTGTAATTAAAAGAGAAGAGCCCTGGTCGGTTTGGTTCAGTGGTTAGACATTGGCCCGAGGACCAGAGTCCTGGGTTCGGTTCCCATAAGGGGCGCATACCTTGGTTGCGGTTCATCCCTGGCCCTGGTTAGGGTCGTGCAGGTGGCAACCAGTTGCTATCCCTCTCTCACATTGACATTTCTCACCGCCCCCCTCCCCCCCCATCTGAAGATAAATGCAAAAAAAATATCCTCAGGTGAGGATTAAAATAAAAATAAAAAATAAAAAAACAGAAAAACTACGTGTTTCATAAACAAACCCCTTGTTACATAACCGTAATAAATTGCCAATTCTCTCCTCCTTTCCTGCTGTCTCCAGGAATTTCATTTGCTAACTCATCACAAAATACTATAAACTAATATTTATGAAAGTAGTCTTGATAATGCAATCACTTCACTAAAGCTTGATTTAAAGGCCTCTGGTAGAGAAACACTTTTTTCTTTAAAGCAATATAAACTTTTTGGTCTCTAATAAAAGTGATGTTAAAAGGTATGGCTTACAGCAATTTCAACTAAAATTGGTGCACAGGGTTCAGTAGTAGTACCCTGACAGCTTATTACGATTGTTAAATAATTCTGTCCTACATCTCCACTTTCTTATGTAAACAGCTGAAATTTATATAGGCTATAAGTACTTGATGAATTGAATTCTCAGTAAGTCCTTTTAAAAGCAAAAATTTGGCAAATTTTCGAATTGATGAAAAAACAATGATTTCAAGTTAGAAAAGATTCAATTCCTACCTGCCACAGCACCAAATGCCAAAGAGCCACTCATTTGTAGCGCCTGCTGTGCTGCTGGTGGGATCTGCAAACCTGTACCTATAAAAGAATAAGTCTTCAAGTCCTTAATATGTTAAGAACAGAAAAACCCAGTTTTCTCATTGCTTACTACCAATGCCATTGCAACAAGGCATTATAAATAGCTGCAACTAAATTTATTCTGAAGTGTGAGGATATTTTTATAGACAGCAATAGAAATCCTATAATATACTAAAAATTCACCACCATAAAGTAGATTCTATCAGAATTTTAAGGTGAGAAATTTCATCTATGAAAATACATACATATGCTGCACAAGGATATTATCAATTCCAAAATAAATCATTGTCCATTTATTAGTCTGCATGGTTAACCTTTCTCATATTCATAATAAATTATTCACAACACTAAGAAAAATTTAACTTACCCTCTGCAAGTCTTGCCATTAATTGTAGACGACCAGTTGTTCCCAAGTCAATTCCAGTCCTTTCCAGTTCATCACTGTCCAAAAATGAGCTAGCGCTGGAAGCATCAGTACGTTCAGTGACATGACCAACTTTCATTGGCCTTCCTGCTAGCTCAAATCCATTAAGTTGTTCCAAAGCCTTCTTGGCACATTCTGAATCAGAAAACTGTAAATGAGGGAGGGGTAGAAAAAGTCCAGTACGTTAGTTTACCTACGGAACCAAGGCAACGAAATGCTTACCTGTTGTCTAAGTTAGTATATTCAATAAATATAACTGGGTGAATGATAAAATAGAAATGTCAAGCTAAAATGTAACCAACACAATCAGATCACATTATTGACATGGTGATTTAAAGTAAGATAGGCAAAAATAAAAAAAAATAAATAAGGAAAAAAAACAAGTAAGATAGGCAACTCCCTCTTGGGAGCAAACCAGTACCTTTCCCCACCCACTTCTAAGCTCCAAGAGCCTTTCTTTTGCCTCTGTATCTTTTTTCCTGAGCCCATTTTACAATTCACTTCTTCTACCTAACTTTCTAAATAAATTTTGTTACAGTTTGGGGGAAAAAAAAACACAAGAAAACAAACAAATGACAAGATATTAACCAAGAATGAAAACTATCGCCTTGGCCGTTTGGCTCAGCGGTTGGAGCTTTGACCTGCGGATTACAGTGTCCTGGGTTCGGTTCTCGCTAGGGACACGTACAAAAAGAAAGGGTAGCAACTATCTTTGGAAATAAGGAATCTTAGTAACAAAATGTGAAAAATAATTTTTAAATCAAAACCTTTTTTAGTGTACTCTGATAAACTTATGTAGTGCTTTTTACCCTCATAGAACTATCCAGTAAAAAATTCAGATTTTTTTTTTTAAATCCTCACCCAAGGATTTTTTTAAATTTATCTTTAATTTATCTTTTAATTTATCTTGGGACGGGGAGAGGAGAGAAAGGGAGAGAGAAACACTGATGTGAGAGGGACACATTAATTGGTTGCCTCCCACATGAACCCAACCAGGTCTGGGAAGAACAGCAACCAAGGTAACATGCCCTTGGCCAGAATCAAATCTACAACTCATTGGTCCACGGGCCTGAGCCAAACCAGCCAGGGCCGGATATTATTTTCATCTTTTCATTACCCTCACCTGAGGACATTTTCCCAAATTGGTTCAGATAGAGTGGGATGGAGAGAGGGAGAGAAAGAGAGAAACAGCGACATGAAAAGGACACATAGAGTGGCTGTCTCACACATGACCCTAACCAGGGCCAGGATGAATCACAACCCAGGTACATGCCCTTGACCGGAATCCAACCCGTGACGCATTGGTCCACTGGCTGACACTCTAACCACTGAACCAAACTGGCCAGGGCCAGATGTTATTTTTAATACAAAATTCTTGGTCATGGCTTGGCCGGTTTGGCTCAGTGGTAGAGCGTCAGGCCCAGAACAGAGTCGCGGGTTTGATTCCAGTCAAGGGCATGTATCTCAGTTCAGGTTTGGCCCCAATCCTGGTCAGAATCATGCAGGAGGCAGTCAATGTGTCACTGTCACATCGGTATTTCTCTCTCTGTCCCCCCCCACCCATCCCAAGAAAAATAAAAAAATATCCTCACGTGAGAATTTTTTTTTTTTTAATCCTCACCCCAGGACATTTTCCCATTTTTTTGTACAGATAGAGTGGGAGGGAGGGAGAGAGAGAGAGAGAGAAACATCGACGTGAAAGAGACACATCGAGTGGCTGCCACCCGCACAACCAACCAGGGCCGGGGACAAACTGCAACCGAGGTACATGCCCTTAGCGGAAACCGAACCCGGGTCTCTCCAGACCGCAGGCCGATGCTCTAACCGCTGAGCCAAACCGGCCAGGGACTCACATGAGAATTAAAAAAAAAAAAAAAAATTCTGGGTAATCTTTTCTGGTCAATAAAATCATGAAAATTCTTAAATGGAGGCAAACACAACAAAACTGTTATTTATACTCTCTAGTTTTAATTTAAGGGAAAAAAGGAACACATTCCCATAAATTCTGAAGTGTAATCTTTCAGAATTTTTATTATTTAAAATAATTTTTCTGGCCCTGGATGGTTGCTCAGTGGTTAGAGCATCGACCTGTGGTGGTTCAGTTCCCCCTAAGGGCGCATATTCAGTTGCAGTTGGTCTCTGGCCCTGGTTGGTCGTGTGGGTGGCAGACACTCAATGTGTCCCTTTCACGCCAATGTTTATCTCTCTCTCTCCTTCCCACTCTATCTGAACAACAACAACAATAAAAAAGGAAAAATGTCCTCAGGTGAGGAAAAAAAAAAAATTTTTCTGGCCATGGCTAGGTATCTCAGTAGGTTCGAGTGTCGCCCCAATATACCAAAGTTTTGGATTCAACACCTGGATAAGGCCCACACAAGAAGCCAAGCAATGAATATGTAAACAAGTGGAACAACAAATAGGTGTGTCTCCCCCTTTGTCTCTAAAAATAAAAAAATTAGAACACTCTATTATTGAGATGGGAATAGACAGTTAATGAAAGATACGTTAAAAAAAACCTTAAAAAAAATCCGCTCTAACTGCTGTTTATAAATAATTTTATAGTAAGTTTTGTTGTTTCACCAGCACAGCAGTTAGAGCGTCGGCTTGCAGTCCAGAGGGACCCAGGTTCAGTTCCCATGTAAGGGCACGTACTTCGGTTGCAGTTTGTCCCCAGCCCTGGTTGGGTCATGTGGGTGGCAGCCACTCAATGTGTCCCTTTCACGTCGATGTTTCTCTCTCTCCCCCCTCTCCTTCCCACTCTATCTGAACAAAAAAATGGGAAAATGTCCTCAAATGACTTTCTATTGGGGGGAAGAAAATTACCACTAATATTATAAAAAGCAAAATAATTTGTTGGTGGGTAAATAATTTTATAGCAAGTTTTGTCGTTTCACCAGCACATATTGATTACATAGAATCCCAATGGACCAATAAAATAGATTCTCTACTACTATAGGTTTAAATTTTATGAAAATCTTAACAGTAAGACCATTATAATTTCTTGAATAAAATTGGAACCTGTTTGTTATTTTAAATATTTTACATGCATTGGTTTGGGGCAGGGGGGAGAAACATTGATTTATTGTTCTTAATGATTTATGTGTTTATTGGTCAATTCTTTCTTTAATGCTTAGCTATGGGTACTTGTTTAATCAACTCAACAACCTGGCTGTGACCTATCAGTATTTTAAAGTAAAAGAACTTGCCCAGACGGTGTGAGTCTGTGGTGAGCATCAACCAATGCACCAAGCAGTTGCCAGTTGATTTCCAGTCAGGGCACATGCTACCCAGGTTATGGGCCCAAACCCCAGTGGGGGGCACACAGGAGGCAGCAATCAATGTTCTCTTTCATCGATGTTTCTCTCTCTCTGTCCCTCTCTCTCTTAAATAAATAAGGGGAAAAAAAATTTTTTTTAAAGAAAAAATATGTTCCCAAGATTTTCCAAGGTTAAAATATGATACACTTGAAAAATAGCTATCATGGAACTGGATTACATCATGAAGAAATAGAGTTCACTCTCAACAAGGCACCGCCCTATCTCATACCCTAATCACAAACTGGGCTGTAATGGTTAGCCAGAAAGCAAGGCATTCCTCGTCATTGTGCTAAGGTATAAATATATAAAAAATTTTTTAAGTAGAATGAAATTCTAAGAGACCATCATTCAATAAACAAGAATGTGTCAAACAACTCAGAAATTAAAGTCAAATAAAGGAGCCAGTGATTTCAATTATATGAAGAATTGGTTAAACAAACTGACCATATACAGAATAGCAAACTGGTTAAGCTTTCATATTTAATGGATACAAAATGCTACTAAAAATTGGCTATATAGCTCAGCCGGTGTGGGTTAGTGGATTGTGTGTTGTCCCATGAACTAAAAGGTCCCTATCTGATTCCCAGTCAGGGCACATGCCCATGTTTCGGGCTCAATCCCCAGTAGGAGGCCTACAGAAGGCAGCTGATTAAATGAATGTCTCTCTCATATACTGACGTTTCTGTTTGACTCCCTTCCTCTCTTTAAAAAAAAAAAAAAAAAAAAAATCAACAAGCAAGTTAATTTAAACCAATTGAAAATATTAACCATGTGTCCTTCTGCACTATCAGTAACTAATGAAGTTTTACTATGCTTCTTAAATAAAAAACCTCTAAGTCGCCCTGGCCGGTATGGCTCAACTCAGTTGGTTGAGTGTCATCCCATGAGCCAAAAGGTTGTTGAGTTTGATTCAGGGTCAGGGCACTTGCCCAGGTTGGGGTTTTGGTCTCCGGTCTGGGTATATACCGGAGGCAACTGATCAATGTTTCTTTCTGTCAATGTTCCTCTTTCTCTAAAATCAATAAAGATATATACATTTTTTAAAAGACTAAATCATAATGTTAAATGCTTACTGTAATAAATCCATATCCCTTGGAACGTCCTGTTTCACTATCCATCATGAGCTGGATACTTTCAATCTAAAAATAAAAAACATAATTACTGCATAGGTAAAAACGAGGGCACAAAATTTTTTCCTCAAAGCAATTGAATAATCCTCTCCTCCTAAATAATAACTGAAAACATACCACAACTCCTATATCCCACCAAAATTTTCTGAAAGCCTAGCAACTTCCCAAACAAGTACGAAGTCATACACGGGGGATCTGGGGGAAAATTCAATAATCTTAGTCTTTTGCCTCTAAAGCAAGTAACAAAACCTAAAGTACTTTGTAAAATACAATCAGGAGTTGGAAATGAAATCAACATCTGTATCCTTTGTATTATGATGAAGGACCCAAAATAATTCTCAATACCAGACTTGGTAGATTAACCAAAAAATTGGAATTATTTAAAAATAAACAGAAGATGTAGTTGATGATTGCAGAACTCTGTGAATATAATAAGCAATTAACTGTTCATTTTAAATGAGTGAATTGCATGGTTTGTAAATTATGCACTGAGGTTGCAGGTTTTATTTCCTGGACCCAGTGGGGGTTGTGCAGAAGGCAAGCATCCGATGTATCTCTCCCTCCCTTCCACTCTCTAAAAAAAAAAAAAAAATCAATGGAAAAATATCCTCCAGTGAGGATTAACCCTTCCCCCAAAAAGATACAGCACAAATAACGTATTTTTTCTGTGTCCTGGTGGTTTCAGGAATGCATTCATTTTGTAATGAGCAATCAACCCATACAATTATGATGTCTATTTCCAATAAACAAGGCACTCACAATCTCAACACCCTGATGTTTACCATTATTGACATTTAAACAGTTGTGTTTTTTATTTTATATTTTGTTCAGATAGAGTGGGAGGGAGAGAGAGAGCAGGAGGGAGAGCGAGAAAGAGAAAGAGAGACATTGACATGAAAGGGACACACGACCCAACCAGGGCTGGGGAAAAACTACAACCAAGGTACATGCCCTTAGCGGAAACCGAACCCGGGTCTCTCCAGACCACAGGCCAGCATCCTAACCGCTGAGCCAAACCGGCCAGGGCAACATTCAAACAGTTTAACAAAGAAGTACAGTGGGGTAATGAAAGAAATCAATAAAAATATATCCAAGAATAAACATTAATAGTGGATAAGGTTCAGAGAGAACTAAGATTTTTATTCATTGCCACATAATGAATCTTTTAAATCAGAGCACAATCCACTATTAAGATTTATTCTACAATGTCTATTCTGAAATGAGGAGCAACTGGACATAAACAGACACCGTATAATTATTCTTTAATTTAGTAAAGAAGTTTCTCTACAGACCCCAAAATTTTCAGTTAGACTAATCCTACCCCATCTTAATATTAATTTTATATAAACAAAATAAAGCAAATATACAAACGTTATTATAGTTACATTTGTATCAAGAACCTATTGAAGAAATTGATCGAGAAATTGGGACTTACCCTTCCAAAAGGCTCAAAGATCCCCCGAAGCATATCTTCAGTTATGTTAAAGTGTAATGAGCCCACATAAAGCCTCATAGGTCCAGCACTTCCCTTTTGTAGATTGTTTGCCATTGCTGCAGCTCTGTTCTTTTCTGCCTACAAGTTAAAGTCAAAATGCACATTATACAACACTGATACAAATGTAAAATGGTAAATTATACCCACACATTAGGTTTGTCAAAGATGAGTGACAAAATTATGTTAAGTATTATACATAAAAGGGCAAATATTGTCTAATTCCACTTACATGTGACTAATGGCACTGAATCATTCACTTAAATGGTTAAAATGCCAAGTTTATATATACATATTTTTTTAAGATAGGGTGGGAAGGAGAGAGAAAGGGAGAGAAAAACATCCACGTGAGAAAAACACATTGATTGGTTGCCTCCTACATGACCTCAACAGGGGTCTGGGATCGAACCTGCAAAACAGGTACGTGACTGGGAATCGTGGGCCAACATTAAACCCTGAGCAAAACCTGCCAGGGCAAAATGCCACCTTTTAAATACTGATGCATCCTGATATCAGACATGCTAATAATGTGAAAAGTAAGCCTGTTCCTTGCCATTGTTAAATACATTAGTTATTAATTAAAATAAATGTAGCCCTGGTTGGTTTGGTTCAGTTGGTTGGGTAATCACCCTATATACGTAGGAGTTGCCAGTTCAATTTTAAGTTAGGGCACATGAACAAGTTTGTGGGCTTGATCCCCAATAGGTGCACAGGATGTGGCCAATCAATGTTCACCTCTTCATCAATGACTCTCAAAAATCAATAAACATACTTTTTAGAACAATGAAAATGCCACCCTGGCCGTTTTGTCTCAGCAGTTAGAGCATCAGACCATGGACCAAACAAAGGTAGCAACCAATTGATGTTCTTTCTTTCTCCCTCCCTTCCACTCTACCGCGATAAATGAATTTCTGCGAAATAGGATTCTTTATATAGTCATCTTTTGCCACTTCACGCTTCGACTTTTGCAGCTTCACTCTATCGTGGTAGAGTCTGGAACTGATTAACCACAATAAACGAAGGCTGACTGCAGTATATAGCAGTTGAAAAAACAGCAACAGAGCGAAGCTGTTAAAGTCTAAGCACAAATTGGCAAGGGACAACTGTATCTAAAGGTAAATGAAAAAATATTCTTGGGTGAGGATTTAAAAATAAATAAAAATCAATGGGAACATTCCCTCAGGTGAAGATTAACTATATATATATACCTATACATATATATAAAATCTTACATATATAAATGCCAATTCTGTAGAGGACCAGCAAAGATTCTCTGTCCCCCCTTCTCTTCTCTAAAATCAATAAAAAAAATTTTTCTTTAAAAGAAACTTTGAACATTGATTTGTTATTCCACTTAGGTTGATTGTTGTCTGTGCCCTCAGGGGGTGGTGGAATCAAACCCACAGCTTGTATCAGGATTATGCTCTACTTAGCCAGGGCCAAACTACTCTTCATGTACCCTGCTCCCACCTACTTCTTCCACAGTCATGCATCTTGTAAACCCTTGCAACCAGGGAAGCAAGTGGCAGCGGCCTCTCCCAGACTAACCCCAGAACCTGTGTCCAAGGCCTCCTTTACTGTGACTACGCAGTGAGCCAAAGCAGCCCTGCCAGGCTCATTTCGTTCCTGTAACATTTTTTTAAAAATATATATTTTCATTGATTTTTTTGGACAGAGAAAGGGAGAGAGAGAAACATCAATGTGGGAGATACATTAATTAGCTGCCTGCTGCACGCCCACTACTGGGGATGATCAAGCCTGCAACCTGAGCATGTTCCCTAACCAGGAATTAATCAGGGACCTCTCACTACATGGGACTAAGTTCAATCCACTGGGCCACACCGGACACCGGACGGGCATCTTTCCTATAATATTTCAGAAGAGGCAAAGCAGCCCCGCCCTAGGTTCTCTCCTGTTGCTTGTTCTATCCTAAGCCCTTCCTTATTATTTCACTGTCCCGTTTTAATAAACGTAATCTTTAAAAAAGTCAAAACCAGCCAGCCGGTATAGCTCAGTGGACTGAGTGTCATTCCATTGACTGAGAGGTCCCAGTTTGATTCCCAGTCAGGGTACATGCCCAGGTTGCAGGCTCGATCCCCAGTGGGGGGCATGCAGGAGGCAGTCCATCAACGTTTGTCTTTCACAAATCAATGTTTCTATCTCTCTACCTTCCTCTCTTTAAAAAAAAAAAAATCAAAAATAGCCCTGGCCAGTTTGGCTCAGTGGTTGGAGTATTGGCCTGCGGACCAGAGAGTCCCAGGTTCAGTTCCCACTAGGGGCATGTACCAAAAAAAAAAAAAAAAAAAAAAAAATCAAAAATATATTTTAAAAAGTCAAAATCATTCAAGTTGAAAGACTGAAAGAGAAAAATGTGTCCTTGGATGCTTTATCTAAAACTAAGAGATATTACAAATTAATAAATTTCGAGAGCAAATTTCCAAATCTTTTTTATGAAACAGCTATTTACTACTTATATTAAAATTCAACAAAATGGGCCCTGGCCGGTTTGGCTCAGAGTTTGGAGCGTCGGCCTGCGGTACAGAGAGACCCGGGTTCGGTTCCCACTAAGGGCATGTACCTTGGTTGCAGTTTGTCCCCGGCCCTGGTTGGTCGTGCGGGTGGCAGCCACTCAATGTGTCCCTTCACATCGATGTTTCTCTCTCTCTCTCTCTTCCTCTCTCTCCCTCCCGCTCTATCTGAACAACAACAAAAAAAAAATCAACAAAATGGTGCCTGGCCAGTGTGGCTCACTGGTTGAGAGTCGACCCATGCACCAAAAGGTCACCGGTTCAATTCTGTCAGGGCACATGCCCAGATTGTAGGCCTGATCCCCAGTGGGGGGCATGCAGGAGGCGGCAAATTGATGTTCTCTCTCTTCAATGTTTCTATCTAGCGCTCCCTCTCTCCCTTCCTCTCTCTCTAAAATAAAGAAAAAATATTTTTAAAAAATTCAACAAGATGGGGTTGAGAAAAAACTATACTAACAAAAAACTATCCTGCCCTGGCCGGTGTAGCTCAGTGTTTGGAGGGTCGGCCTGTGCACCAAAGGGTTACAGGTTCAATTCCCCCAAAGGTTCCAGTAGGAACACATGTGGAGAGCAACCAATGGATGTCTCTCTCACATAAATGTTTCTCCCCCCCACCCCATCCAATCTTTCTAAAAATCAATGGAAAACATATCCTCAGGGTGAGGATAAACAGCAACAACAAAAGGGTATATAGAGAATACACGACTTAAGGTAGTAAGTGGTGATTATTAGGCACAAAGCCCTACAGCGTAACTCTAAGCCAACAACAGGTTTCCATTACTATCAATGATAGAATTCTTAAGAAAAAGAAATTACCTGTGATGCCTGTACTATGATTGGCACTCCTAGAACACGTTGGCCAGTTAGTCCTATTGCTAGAGGCACCGAGCTAACATCAACAAACTCCACATAAGCAATTCCCTTGGACCGTCTTGAATTTCTATCAGAAATCATCCTTACGTCTCGAACCTAAAAAGAAAACACAGTGATGACATAAGGTTGCTTGCGCAACCATCCAGGAAGCCATTATAGATAATTTCAAAAAGAGACAAGAGGCACATTATTAATGCAGCAAAGGTAGAAGCCATTAAAACTTTTAAAAAAATAACTAAACTTGTAGGCCCACTTCTATCTTCTAATAAATAACATGGTAACATATATCAACTCCCACACTCACTAACTTCCAAGTGAGGTAAAGTAAAAATGTTACCAGAAATAAATTCTGTAATTGAAGTATAGTAAATCAAAACGTATGGCGTTCAGAGGTCTTCTCATTTTAATAGTTACACTGACAATTATTAAAATGTTTGCAACTTCCGCCCTGGCCGATTTGCTCAGCGGTTAGAGCGTTGGCCTGCGGTCCAGAGAGACCCAGGTTCGGTTTCCGCTAGGGACATGTGCCTCGGATGCAGTTTGTCCCTGGCCCCAGATGGGTCGTGCGGGTGGCAACCACTTGATGTGTTCCTTTCACGTTGATGTTTTTCTCTCTCTCCCCCTTCCTCACACTCTATCTGAACAAAAAATGGAAAAATGTCCTTGGGTGAGGATAAAAAAAATAAAATGTTTGCAACTGCCACATATTTGACCTCCATAAATAGGCTTAGATCACCTACCTTTCCCACTGTAGAGAAAAACTCTTCCAAATCCCTTGGCCGAATTCGTGCTGCCAGCTGCATGCAGAAAACAGTCCTTGCATCTCTTTCCTCAGGAGTTAGATTATCAATAGGTTCCCTAACAGGAGTAAGAAAATACAGAATTTTGAAACTTACTTCTTTTCAAAGTACATTTTCAGTAAATGGAAAAAGTTTACCAAAACTAGTTTTTCACTATTCCCAAACCAGATTATGTAACATTTCCATGAAGCAATTCAATTCCTTCAACAGCATGATAGTTTACTAGATGTTTCTTCTGATAATATTTTACATGGTATTAGGACAAAAGTCAACTGGCCTCTAAATCTTACGAATGGTAATTTCTCCAAGATAATAAAGGGCCAATAAGAAACACAATATACCCTCGACTAGCCACATATCAGATTTGTCCTAAGTTAGTAGGTAAGATGATTTCCCACAACAAAACCATAAAATCATACAGCAAAATTAAATTTGATAATCACAAAAACACCAAATGACAAAAACTGTTTGATTCTAAGAATTTGGTTTATCCAACATATTGAGATAGATAATAAAGAACACAGTGAGCTATCTGTATTAGAATTAGAGTAGTTTGCTAAGACACTGCAAGTAAGTATCTAAAGAAAATTTTTTTTTCTATCCTCACCCGAGGACATTTTTGCATTTATCTTCGGATAGAGCAGGAGGGAGAGAGGAAAAGAAAGAGAAACATCGATGTGAGAGAGAGACATCGAGTGGTTTCCTCCCATATGACCCCAACCAGGGCCGGGGCCAAACTGCAACCGAGGTACATGCCCTTAGCGGAAACCGAACCCGGGTCTCTCTGGACCGCAGGCCAATGCTCTAACCACTGGGCAAAACCGGCCAGGAGAAATCAGCAAATGATTTAAAATATATTACTGCAAAACAGAGGTACAAAACTGGAGTAGAGAAAGAGAACTAAAAGGAAATTTTCTGATAGAAAACTAAATGTTAAGAGTAAAAACCTCAATATCTGTTACAAAGAGAGCTTTTAAAATTAAGGTTTTTACCAAATCGTGGAATAATTAGAATATGCCAAACAGGATAAACTCAACGTTAAAAGGTTCCCTTTAAGGAAAGTCAAAACATCAATACAGAACAATGCTAACAATATAACAAAATGTTGCCTGACCAAAAGAGTAAATTGAACAAGTCTTATGTTTATTTAAAAGGAAACTCATAGAAACATTCAAGAACCAAACACTACTACTTAAAAAACCAGTAAAGACTACTACTTAAAAAAACAGTCAATTTAGTTAAGACTTTGGAAATTAAATACTTCTTAGGCAAGAAAAAGTTATAAAATTCATTTTTGTTCTAACTACTCTCCCTGAAGTCTTTTCAATAACTCAAATTTATTAATTCCAAAGACAATGAGTGAAATCTGTAAAGATTTCTATAGCTATCATTAAAAATTTTATTTAAGATAAAAGGGAAATAAGATTACATTAAAATAGTAATTACTGTTTCACTCTTAGTTATAAGAAATTAAAATGAAAGATATTGAAAATTTAGAAATACATTAATAGTACTAGTACTACAAAATGAATTTTAATATGGTCCAATTTACTCAATGTCATTAAATTTATAGAAGTAGCATAAATTGCAAAAGCTTTATAAAAGCTAAAAGCTCTAAAGAAATAAATAGTGACAACAGCTAACCTCACTGGGCTCTTGTCTTTTCTGAATGGGCTTTTGCTTCGGGAGCGTCGTCTGCTGCAAAGTTAAAAAGGTTCAAAAGTTACCCAAACAAGTACACCACATTAGTTCCTTGAAAAACAATTTAAACAATTCAGAAGTATGTTTAAAAACCTTAATTTGACGCTATGAGGCAACCCAATCTTTCCTCGGATGGCACTGTTAAATTTTGGTCCGGAGCTAAAAAGGAAACACAAAATTACACTAGTTACAGGTTTTGGGTCTTGCTAAGATCACGTTCATGTGCTCTCCAGCAAGTTTAACATTGTTTAGGCTGCTTCTTTTCCACCTCAATTATGAAGAGGAAATAGACCTTTTCTTTTAACTCTATCCCAGGCAAACTGCTCTTATAGCTATCCATCGTGGACCACTGAGAGGTGCCAAGACCAAAGGTTATATAGCCTCAAATTTTTTAAAATCTGAAAATGCTCATTCTCACTTTTAGTCTAGTCTTCTTAAAATTACATTTATGTTAACAATTCGGTGTGAATCTTTGCACATTCTTTTCTCAGGAATATACATGTGTTTATACATATGTGCATATACAATATTCATGTTTTCTTGAAACTTAAATTTCCATTTAATAGCAAGTCTCAGGGACTGCATGAAAACACATTATACTTCACTTCCTTGTTTCAAAAAAATCCATAGTAAAGATGTGAAAGTTATTCATCAAAAAAATTTTTTAAATGTAACTATTCTAAAATACAGTTTTATTCTAGTCTAAATAACTCTAAAAAGGCCCAGTAGTTTTGGGGGCTTTTATTTTGAAAGACCAAACTACATTAAAGAGACAGTCAGATGTCTGTCCCTTAGTGCTCATCCTGTTATTCTTTTCCAAAAGGGTAGCAAAATGAACTATCTAGTGGTCTCTGACCCACCATTTGGATTTGTTGTCATGAACTCTAACTGTACCTAACAACATCCAAGCAGTTCCAAATGAATTATTTTGTTTTAAATAGGTCCTTTGCAATTCAACCTAATAGTGATAAGAATATGCATTTACTGAGTAAATTCAAGTTGAAGTAAGACTATATAAATATTTTCCTCCTTTAATAATAGAAGTCCCAGTTTTTGTTTCCACAGTTAAAAATCACCTGAAACCAAATGTAAGAACTAAATCATTTTTAAGTCAGACTGGGACCACAGGCTGACTTCAAGCATTTCTCAGAGGAAATAATATTCAGAATTTATTAAATCTTTTTTCCTCCTATTTAGTTCATTCTGCCAAAAAAAGTATGCAGTCAACTTTGATAAATTGGACAAAAAGCAAAGTATTTTCTAATAGAGCATTTGGAATTAAAAAAACATTTTGGTCCCTTTAAGCTCTAAAAATTTATGAAATAAACAGCTAGGAGGAGCTTAAAAAAGAAGGAGTTCCATTCTTTTCATTTTAAAGATTTAAGAACCAGAATCAGAACTCAAAATGGTACTGACTTTAATGGCTTCAAACACCAAAACATTTCATGAATAGCAGGTAAGATGGGTGCTTTATTTACATTCTCTTCTCAATGCTCATTAATTTTTCTGTCAATTGTTACCTCTTAAAAGTTGAGAAAAATAAAGCTTAGTGTGAACTCGCCCAAATGGCAGAGCCAAGGCTTTGGTTTAGCTGTCTGAATTCCCCTTTCAACTGTTCAAAGTTTTAAAGTTAGAAGTGTTCATTTTAATATACCCCATTTTAGAACAGTATGTTAAGAGGAAAGCACTAAGGACTGCTAGATTCAATCCTTGCTTAAAAGTTGTATGTAGGCTCTTAACAGTTATTTTTACAGTTGAGATTTTTAAAAATGACTAATAAAACTCTGCAACTTAAATAACCACATCCCACTTTCCACAGTGATTTAACCTTCAAAGCACATTTAATGCTTTATTTAAAAAACAGTGATTAGCCCCCAAAATCATCATCCAGGAACAAACACTAAATTCACAAATGGTCTGTCATTTCAGCTGAAAAGAGCCACACATTCAATATTATTGTTAACTAAATACACACTTGACTAGTCGTACATATCTGTAAACATATCCACCTGAGCTTTAAACTTTTAAATACATTTATGTTTAGTGAATGTTCTCACATATTTAAGCTTTAAATCTTTTTTTTTAACTCTAGTGCTTTAGTGTAATCTAGTTTGGACTGGCATACACTTAAAATGCTTTTATGTGGAATAGCAAAATAATCTGTATGCCTAGAGTAAAACAAAAGTTAGGTACATGTCCACTCAGTTTCCCATTCCACTAGTCTTTTCAATGCCAATATCCTTATTTAATGCTTTAACAAATCATACTGAAAGTGAAATTTCACAGTTCAAATCACTCAGGTTAAATTACTATCTGGATACCCAGCAAATGACCCTAAAAACCAAAATCATCATAATTACAGTTACATACTAAGGACTTCTGTAGCGGCCTCTGAATCTGCGATCTCGACTTCTTGAGCGGCTCCGTCTCCTTTCTTTGCTTCTACTTCGCTTTCTTTCCCGGCTTTTGCTCTTTTTCCTTTCTCTATCTCTGCTTCGCTTCCGTTCCTTACTTTTGCTTCTTTTTCGTTCATGACTACGACTTCTGCTCTTGCTTTTTTTCCTCCTAAGAAAAAAAGTCACCATTATCTTACTGATTTAAGAATCTGCCAAAATATACTTCCTTTTATGGTCAGAATTTTTTTTATCTTTTTGCAAATTTATTTTGCTCTTTTTACTATCATACAATGACACATATCAAATTTATGGAGAAATAATTCATAGGTAAGGTAAACACCACCCAACCTTTGCCTTCTACTAGTGAAAATCGGCAGTCAGTTGACAGAGAATCATTTCAGAGAGCAGGGACTAGAATGATGTGAGTCAGCTACAACTCTAACAAGGAAAGGACTTGTTGGTAGGACTAGATCAAACCTGAACTTTAAAATGAAGTCTGACCATCTTATAACTGGCCAACAAGTATTACTGTAATCCATAGGACACAGTAAACAAATTAAATTATAATAGAATATGTTAACATTTAAGTATTAGTGCTGGGCCATATATAATATTTTTCATTAAATACACTAATTTCCCTTAAGCCAATTTTGACCCAATTTATACATGTAACTATTTATACTTTCAACAGGCCATACAAACATTAGTATTTTTGTTTTCACGAGCAAAATTACAAGTAATGACAAAGGGCAGCAAAACTAATGCAATAAAATGCATTCTGGCACTCCTAGACTTCATTGCAACCATTTCAGACACTTTGTTTTTAAAGTTATGAGTATACCAGAAAATGGAGTATGCCATTTTTATGCCAGTTTATACAAGCCTGTAGGGTGCAATAGAAAACAACAATCAACATCTATATAAATTTTTATGAAATTTTAAACTCTGAAAGGTAAAAAAGCCAGTCATTCATATCTTTCTGTTCATTTTTATATTCTTCACAGCATGCCACCCACTCATTTCATAGTTAAATCTTACAATCTGTACCTCTGTGCCATCACCCAAATTTTAGAGGTGCCTTCAGATATTTCAATATAAATTGAAAGACATTTCAAAATAAATTTATTCCACTAAGATGTCAATTTGTAGTGGCTAAAAGGTTGAACATCTGACAACTCTACATCATTTGGAAATTTCATTAGCTGTTTAGTCCTTATCAAAGCAAAGTTATAGAACGAAGAGCAATTGAAGTCTGCCTCAGAGAACCTGTAAGCAGGTCATCTTAGAGTGCATTGAAAATAGAAAATGAAGACACCCACCTTCTGGAATCTTGAAACCCACACTCCAATCACAAGGAGATGTAGAGCTTTCCAAGGAGGCAGAAACTTTGTCTAAAATTTCAAGATAATCCACCTGACTGTCAGAAATGTATATGCTAAGTAGCACATGACAGAAAATTAGGCTACACTCATTATTTATATAGAAGTCATCAAAGCAATGCCCAGAAGGGCAACAGATAACATTCCAACTTTGTTGCCTGAAAAACCTGACACTATCTCTTAAAGAATTCTGTGCAACAGCTATAATAGAAAGTTCTAAATATAATCAATTAGAGGACAAAGTAAAAAGTAACTCTATCTCCCACAAATAAGACAAAGTTTTGCTCTGCTCATAGATGGCCCATTAAGAGAGGCAGCCAACCTCTTTATTTACCTCTTATTAGGCCCAAAACTTGTTTTACCAAAGAAAATGACTTGAAAATTGGAGAGCTAATTTCAACTTAAGGTCTTCCTAGGACTTTTAATAAATGAGTCCCCACCCACATCTGAAGGCAACCCCAGACAGGTAAAAAGATAGCAACCTACTAAGACATTCAGAATATACAATCCTCTGCATAAAAGCCCAGACAAAAATTTTAGGGTGCAAGACAGCAGTATACTTCTCTATAACAAATTGCAGCTTCAAAGAACATTTATTAGGTTAACTAAAGAAGGGTTATAAAAATCCATACTAATAGTCAAATCCTGTTACAACTTAAATGGGACTTTCCAAAGTCTTTAGTGGCAGTGGAATTTTGTACTGAACATCATTGAAGTAAATGGTCCACTGGGCTGGGCCTTTGGACTTTTTGGTTATATGGCCTCTGCTGTAAAGGTGTTTTGCTATAACTGGATTTGACCTCTTCCATGTAAGAAGATCTAAATTTTAAATGCAAAGTACTCTGGAAAATAAGAAAAAAAATAGAAAAGTCATTTATTCCAAAATTTATAGATAATCCACACCACAGTAGCCAATATATTCCAACTGTGTCATTTTATTATCCTTTTTTGACTAATTCCTAAAGAGCTTAACTGAACGAATGCTACTTTAGACTTTGCAAAACTGGCTACATTAACAAATAACATTCCCATGAAGGCAAGCTCTGGCACTTGGTATCTTGCCAAACTCATGGGTAAATAATTCTTTTCAAAGTAGGTTAATTGATAACCAATTTGTGTTATATTAAACTTAGCTCCTTTTACTATCAGAATACAATTGAGTGTATGTATTGAGAATCAGACTTACTATTTTTTAAAAGAAAACATTTACTAGTCACTCTCAATTCTGAGTGTGTATTTTCTTACTACTTTAAAACTATATCCCAACACTTAATGGCTTTTAACACAGTGAAATTTTAGAATAAAAAATGCAATATAGCACTTTCCTCTGGTTGACTTGCACAGAACATTTGATTTGTTATATTGTAGTCATCCTTAAACACACAAATTTTCTTCTAGAGAACTTTGAAATTTGAAAGATTAACTCCATTCAAAAAAATGGGTGAAAGTTCCTGATTGAACAAGGGAGCCATTTATTTAACGAGCTATACATAACTGAGGGTGAGAAGTCTAACAGAGAAATAATTTATACATTTAAAAAGATACTAGACAGCAGTTGAAAGTGTTTTGAAAAGTTTTCCCCTTAATCAAAGACCCCTATGATTAATTAAAGAAAAGTATCCATTCTACTCAGTCTCAAGACTCTTTACCTTACACAAAAGGTGACTAAGCATCAGTCATTGAGTCCTTATAAAAGCCTTAATGAGCTTAGATACAGGATGAAAACAAGTAAAACTGGAAATGGGATAGGCAGCAAGGAGTGACATCTGAGAATGGTACAGCAAAGGTCTGTGTTCCAAAGTGTATGTCCCTATCCTTTCAGTACTTACTGGTGAGAGCTTTATTCACCCACTAGGCCTGATACCTAGATTGGATCATTTCAGTCATTTTATAGTTAATGCTCCCTCCTTCCTCAATTTTCTTGGATTACAGAATTCCAAATTAGAACCATTCATTAGGAAATGGTTACTTTGGTAAAGGTCTAAAACCAGATGACAAAACTAAACCATGCAGACTGGTTGATTGCCTCACACATAACAATTCAAGACTAAACCCAACCTAATACCCATAATCTATTGTGATTAGGAGGGAACTACAACAGACAGACTCCCACCAGAAAAGAGTAGGACATTTACTATATATTACACCATTTTTAAAATCCATCAGTACTACATCATTTAAGGGAAATTAAAATTTTTTTTAAAAAGGGTGTAGCAAAGCCCAAATAATCCCATCTGACAATTTTTTCATCTTTTTATGAAACTATATCAATCTAACAAAGTTGTTATGAGAATGTTGAGGTAGTATATTATAGAGCACTTTGAGCTCTTAGGATTTAAAGCCAAAAAGAATTAAGTGGCTGTCTACCATCACTTTTCATTATGTATTAGGGGTCATGAACATGACAAAATGTTTTAATACATTACAAATATAGGCTAATAAAACAATTTATGCTTGTAACATCACTAATGTTAGAGCTGAAAAAAACTTCAAGAATAGGATTGAGCCCTGGCCCCTGTGGCTCGATGGTTAGAGCGTCAGCCTATGGATCAGAGTCCCGGGTTCAATACTGGCCAAGGGCAAGTACCTCAGTTGTGGTTTGTTCCTGGCCCCAGTTGGGGTCATGCGGGAGGCAACCAATGATGTGTCTTTCTCACATCGGTGTTTCTCTCTCTTCCTCCTGCCTGCTCTATCTGAAGATAAGTGTAAAAATATCAAGATAGCCCTGGCCGGATTGGCTCAGCGGTTGGAGTGTCGGCCTGCGGACCAGAGAGTCCTGGGTTCAGTTCCCTCTCGGGGCACGTACCAAAAAGAAAGAAAGAAAAAAATCCAAGATAAAAAAATTTTAAAAAAATAAAAAGAATAGAATCCAACCTTATAAAGTAGATGTAATTTATATTGTTACTTAGAATATTGTATACTGCATTCTATACTATTCTGTAGCACTGAGTTATTATCTTGGGTTACTCATTTACCTTAAATAACTTGTATCACTCAATTTTTTAAATTCCACTCTATCAAGTCCAGTAGAGTTTAAAAAGCTTAAGACAACAAAAGCTACGTAAGAGGAACATAAGTACTAAAATATATAGCATTATGACAAAAAGGACCTTTAAGCAGTAAGAACTTAAATTTTAACTCACAGCTCTGACTCCTTCAGTAATTTAGAACAAATAGTACTTTCTCTGGCCTGATTATTTATTACCCTTTCTTCTTCCTAGGTCACCTTAGTGGATTTGTTAGTTTAACCAATAACATCACTAAACATTAAACCCAAGTTAATAAACTTAAGACAAAAGACAAGGTTTAATACAACTCTTATCTAAATTTGTCATGGAAGGACTTCGAGGGGAAGGTGTTCAAAAGACCCCTGAAATCTAGGGAGTTTATAGTTTTATATCCTCAAACAGTTTCTCATCCCAAAAGGTAAAGAATCACTTTTCTAAAAGAGGCAAAGAAAAGCTTCCAAAGAGAACCTTAGTTTGATGCTTTAGCCACAGGAACACAACTTTAATAAGACCCCAAATATATAAAGTTCCCCCACCCCAGGTCCCTTCTTAAAACTTACTTTTTGCTACGTTCTTCATGGCCATTAGCACTGCTCAACTTGTTCTCATCCTAAGCAGGGTTGATAGAAGAACATCATGAGGACGAAGTGGTAACATTTCAAGTTGTCAAAGGGTAAAGGGAATAGGAATAAGAAAATACAAAACAATTTTAAAACTAATTACTTATTCATAGTTTAACATGGAAGGCTATAAAAAAATTTAGATGGGTATGTGTTTAACCACTTTGTTGCTTACAATTAAGTCATCAAGATACAAAAATAAAAATACATATTAACAGGTTAAATTTTATTTTTTTATATAGTTAGATATGAAGTTATCCAGATTTACAGTGTTGAAGTGGTTAAATAAAATTTCTTCAAAACATGAATGAAGTCCTGTTTTGAGTTTTATTCCATGGTCTATGGTCCCTTTGGTCAGTACCACGGCTCTATTTCTGCCTAAGCCCCAAGTGGCCATGCTAGCAGCCAGCCACTATCGATTTCCTGTGACCGATGCCATTCCTGAGATCTTCGCCCATTTCCGTTGGAGGGTTGGGACTGTAAGAGCTTGATGCCACCTCTGTCACACATCTCGCCCTGAAGCAAACAGGGATTCACACTGCTTTAGTAATGTTGACTCTCAAGAACCCAAGAAAGTCAATTAATAATCCACCAGTCCAACCTACACATTTCCTACTTCCATACCTGTTTACATGGAATTACATCCATGTTAAACTAAGACACAAGAATCTTAACATTAAAATAGAAAGCTCTTCAAGAGTCTTAAGCATTACAAAACTAGGTACACTAAAGGTATAAAGAATTCATCCAAACTGGTACCACATGGTCGTGCTATACACTCCAAAACAAATGTATTATTTTTAAAAGGTTTAGCGCAATGTTTATTTTAAAGTTTGATCACATCAGTTATAGGATGTATAACCGCTAACTTACAAAGCTTACAGTTTGTGACACCAGTGATAATGCATGCATACTGCTATTTTCACCACCAACCGGTGAAAGAATGAAAAGACACTTTATTTTTACTGTGACACTGAAATGGGTCAAAGACTATTATTATTAGCCAAAATAATTCCTTTGTAGTTTTTAGTGTGAAATATGGCAGGGACTAATTAAAAATAAAACAATACGGAGAACAGTAAAACAGTCATCAAGTGACTAAGTTGTGATACTGCCTCTTTTGCTATAATTTTTTTTTTCTATTCAGGGATCCAAGAATTTTAGTAATTGTAACTGAGCAGCAGATCATCACCTGCCTGTTTAAATATTTTACTATCACCAGTCTTTTACATATATAGAAAAAAATTTAAATCTCACCCATTCTTGCAAGACTTATTTAAAGATTTGCTTGCCACAGACTGGTTAGACTTTGTTGATTCTTGGACCCCTGCTATTTTCCCAAACCACTACATTCACCTTTTTGCTATACCAAACTGGAGCTGGTAATTCTTAGTTGAGTCATTTTACCTAGGGGACCACGGTACAGCGATAAGTCACTCAATTACTACCTTATGATTGACAGTTCACACTGGAATCAAAGGTGAATTCATGGGAGTAGAGGTGAGATATCGTTAGGCAAGTCTACAAAGAGAGATAGATGGGCATTTATTCATCACGCTGAAGTGAAACTACTGCACAATATTATTACATCAATAGCATATATTTACTTTTGTAAGTTATACGTAATGCATCTCTGATAAGATAAATCAAGAGGGCTCCGGGGAGGTTAGTTTACATTTCAGCAGTAGTTTCGTGAATAATGCTAAATTAAGAAATAAAGAAGCCTCACCAACATGTTTTTTCTCACCTTCTTGTAAGGAGCCTCAAGCATTGCTTCAATATCAATATCGTCTGCCATTTTCTCTAAACGCCTACGAAAACAATAAGGTAATTTTATTAGTAAATATTCTTCAATTCTACTCAATTTCTTACTCGAATACTCCAAAACTTCTGAAAACCCAGGCATGATTAAAGTAGCACGAGGCACTTTACTAGACGAGACAATTAAATCCGAAAAGCCTCTAAGAGCACATGAAAACAGACTTAATGTTGGACTTTAAAAAGCCTGCAATTAACTCCAAAAACAGAACCCGCAAGGCTCGGTCGAGAGGACCTCTTTCGGCGCACCACCCGCGCTGCCATTTTAGAGGCAGGAAAACCGCCTCGGTTGGGAGGGGTTGTGTGCCCTGGCAGCGTTCGCCTGGCGCCATGTTGGGAGGTCGCGGCCGCCCAGGCCTCGAAGGAACAGGTCGCCATCTGCCCGAGGCCTCCCTGGAGTGCGTGCCACCCAAGAACCTGCAACCTCCTAGACCGGAAAAGACGGGCGCGGTCGCCAAAATGGGGACGATTTCTCGAAAACCTGTCCTCCCCCCGTCGCTCAAGACCGCCTAAGGAGTGTCCACCAACCCAGAAAAGAACCAAATCTCAAAAAAATCTAAAAATAATTGGGTCCGCAACATCTCTTTACCTCTGCGGGCTTCCGGGTCCCTGTGATGCTCGTATTCGGCAAGAGGGGGGCTGCTGCTGCTGCTGCCGCCGCCGCTGCTGTTGCTACAGTTAAGCCTCTAGGCCCGGGCCGCGGTACCGCCCAGCCCGAATTTCGGGCTCGGAGGCCGAATAGGCCCGAGCGAATCTAAAAGACACAATGGGATTAGAGAAGCCCGCGCGGGAGTGCAGCACGGCGGCTTCGGCAGCTCAGGATCCAACCCTGCGACAGCGTCCGCAGACTCCCTGAAATGGCGGCTGCTGCTTCCCCGTATTCACATTCACTAACACACATACACACACAAACACACGGGGTCTCCTAGAGCCATCGGCACGGGCTCTCGCGAGAAGCTGCCTCCAGTTCCAGACTGAAGAGTCTAAAATATCGCGAGATCTAAAAATGGCCCCAGCGACCGTGGCCCAATCTCGCGCAATGATTGCGCCACAGATATTCCCATCCCCCTCTCAGAGAGGCGCCTTTGACTCCTCCCTCTAGATTGGCGTCTGTATCTCGCGAGACCGCGCAAGTTGCTAGAGCAAAGACAGTTGGTACACTTCCTGTCAATCTTTTAGAAAATTCAACGCTGAGTGGAACTAGGTTATCGCCACCTCCTCGTGGCACCTCCTTACAGCTATCTGAGGGTTTTATCCTCAGAGCTAACCGCCCCCACTGTACCCACCCAGATGTCTGTCAAGGTCGCCATAAGGCATCCTAATCCATATGGCGATAGAATAAAATGAAAACAGCCATTGTAGATTATCCGCCAAGGGCGAAGACGACGTGTAAAGCACATAACAGAGAATGCAAGAAGAGACCGTACAGGAGTAGAGGGTAAAGGGCTGTAAAAATCAGATGTCCCGGCCTGTTGGAGCCAGTGGACTAGGCTCTGTCTCTGCTGTCCAGCTTCAAAACCCTCTGGGAAGTAGTGGAAAAACGCAAAGAGGTGAAAAAAAGCCCCCACCCCCCGAATTTATAGTCTGGCCTTGTGTATGGATTGTTATTGTTTGTTCAAAAATGTCCCCCATTCTCCTGGATCTTGACTCCTGCCCCTGAGGTCTCCCAGATGCCTGGCAGTTAAGAGTATAAATTCATGTTTGGCTCAGCGGTTAAAGCGTCCGCCTGCAGACCAAGGAGTCCCGGGTTCAATTCTAGCCAAAGGCACGCACCTGGGTTGCAGTTCATTCCCTAGGCCCTGGTTGGGGTCGTGAGGGTGGCAATGAATCCATGTGTCTCTCTCACACGGATGTTTCCCTCTCCCTCTCTCTCCATCCCTTTCACTCTGTCTGAAGATAAATGTAAAAATATCCTCGGTTGAGGATTTAAAAAAAAGGGGGGGGGTATAAATTCACCGCTTGTTCTTTGGTCAATATAGCATAAAAGATGGGAACAGAGAGAAAAAAATTTTGAAAAAAATTAGAAAGATGACAGTCCAGCTGGTATGGTGTGTCTCAGTTGGTTGGACATTGTCCAGTGCACCAAGAGGTCACTGGTTTGATTCCTTGTCAGGGCACATACCTGGATTTCGGGCTCATTCCCAGTGGGGGGCATGCAGGAGGCAGCCCATGAATGTTTCTAGCTCTCTCTCTCGCTTTCTCTCTCTCTAAAATCAATATAAATATTTTTTAAATTTTTGAAGAAGAAAGACAACACACAAGTAAAAATCTTATAGAAGTCTATTAACTGCTTAATGATTGAGGGCAAAGATTTCAAATGAGATACCTTGGTTTGTGTAGCTGCGCTAACACTGTGTGACCTTGGAAAAGTAAATTACCCTCCCAGAGCCTATCCTCCACTTTCTCCTACGAAGAAGAGAGTAATATATTAGTAGGCTAAGCTTCTTGAGATTGACCTAGTCCAGTAATGCTCACTACTGAATTCTCAGTGTTTAGCCATGTGCCCAGCCAGGTGAACACTCAATAAAGGAATGAATGAATGCATGCATGCATGCCTGGTAGTATAGTAAGGATTAAATGACATAATGTCTGTTACATGCCTGGCAAGTATATAATTCTCAAAAAAGTTAACTTCTGTTATTGCTTAAAAAATATTTAGAGGAAATGTAGGTGTAAAGAGGCTTTCCATTTGGGGTTGACTTTCTATACTGGGTTTCTCTTATATGGTTAATATATTTTGCATAGTTAGTAATGTCCCCTTACTCCTTCTCCTGAAAATTCAGATCCTCTATTGATTTTTTTAATGTTTTTATTGATTTTTTAGGAAGAGAAGAAGGGAAAGGGAGAGAGCAAGGTAGAGAAACATCAATGTGAGAGAAACATTGATTGGTTGCCTCCTGCACCCTGACCAGGGATCAAACCCCCAACCTGGGTGTGTGCCTTGATGGGGAATTGAACCCCTAACTTTTTGGTGTACAGAATACGTTCAACCAAGGGAGCCACACTGGCCAAGGCCTCAGTAGATTTTTTAAGTGTTGAAATCATCGCAGAAAACTAAGTTGAACCATAATGTGTCAGAAAAGGCAAGCTAACCTTTGCCCTCTCTTTTTCCCCTTTAATTCTAGTATTGTGATTTGTTAATTGTGCAAATATCACAGCATCAAGATAGCCCTTCCTGCCCTGGACGGTTTGGCTCAGCGATTAGAGCATCAGCCTGCAGTCCAGAGAGATTGGGGTTCGGTTCCCGCTAAAGGCATGTACCTTGGTTGCAGTTTGTCCCTGGCCCTTGTTGGGTCGTGCGGGTGGCAACCACTCGATGTGTCCCTTTCACGTCAATGATTCTCTCTCTCTCCCTTGCACTCTATCTGAACAAAATATCGAAAAATATCCTTGGGTGAGGATTAAAAAAAAAAGATAGCCCTTCCTTAATATATTGTTTGTTTGGGAACATGACAGCACAGAACTTTATCTTAACCTCTAAACTTCTTATTTAGGAAGAGGAACGTTTTCTGTTCAAGGTCCATTAGAGTTAGCCTGGCAATTTAGCACACAATCATGAAACGCCAGCTGGAAAACTCAGTCTCTAAAACAAAAGTCTGTCAAAAAGGGCTTTTGTTGTGAGTGACACATGTAGAGCAGATTAATTGCTCTACATGCAGAATTGACATCTTGGTTGTGGTTCACCTGACCCTGGTCAGGGTCATGCAAGAGGCAACCAGTCTATGTATCCCTCTCACATGGATGTTTCTCCCTCCCTCCCACTCTATCTGAAGATAAATAGAAAAATGTCCTTGGGTGAGGATTAAAAAACAAACAAACATATCCTTAGGTGAGGATTAAATATTACAATAATACTAATAATACTAATATTAATAGCCCAAATTGGTTTGGCTCAGTGGCTAGAGCATCGGCCTGTGGACCAAAGGGTTGTGGTTGGATTCCTGGTCAAAGGCATGTACCTGGGTTGCAGGTTCAAGTCCTGGTCCCAGTAAGGCATGTGTGGGAGGCAACCAATTGATGTGTCTCTCTCAAATCAATGTTTCTCTCTCTCCTTCCCTCCCTTCCACTATCCCTAAAAATCACTGGAAAAATATCCTCGGGTGAGGATTAACCAAAAAATATATATAATAATAATAATAATAATAATAAACGGGCCTGGGCTAGAAGAAGTTACAGATATTATACTTAGAGAATTTGGCTGAAAGTGAAATACATTTTGCCAATAAGAGTTTTTTTGGTTTACGTATGACTTTTATAGAAAGAAAATGCTTTTTTTTATCCTTACCCAAGGATATTTTTCCTTTGATTTTCTAGATAGAGTGGAAGGAAGGGAAGGAGAAAAAGAAAGAAACAGTCTGGCCAATGTGACTCAGTGGTTGAGCATTGAACCATACACCAAGAGGTCGACGGTTAAATTCCCGATCAGGACCTATGCCCAGGTTGTGGTCCTGATCCCCAGCGGGGGACATGCAGGAGGTGGCTAGTCCATGTTCTCTCCCATCGATGTTTCCATCTCTCTCTCTTCCTTCTTCTCTCTCTCAAATCAATAAAGGGGGGTGGGGGAAGAAACATTGATATGAGAGAAACACATTGATTGGTTGCCTCTATCATGACCCCCACAAGGCCTGGGATTGAACCTGCAACCCAGGTATGTGCCCTTAACTGGAATTAAACCTGAGACCCTTTGGCTGACACTCTAACCACTGAGCCAAATTGGCCAGGGTGAAAATGGTATTTTTTTTTGGTACGTGCCCCTAGCGGGAACCGAACCCAGGAATCTGGTCTGCAGGCTGATGCTCCAACTGCTGAACCAAACTGGCCAGGGCTGAAAATGGTATTTTTAATACCATTTTAAGTTAATGTTCTACTTTAAAAATGTGTTTTTAGTCTGGCCGGTGTGGCTCAGTGGTTGAGCGTTGACCCATGCACCAAGAGGTCCCCAGTTCCATTCTGGGTCAGGACACATGCCCAGGTTGTGGGCCCAGTCCACAGTGGGGGGCATGCAGGTGGCGGCCAATTGATGTTCTCTCTCATCGATGTTTCTATTTCTCTCTCCTTCTCAATTCCCCTCTCTAAAAATCAGTAAAGAAAAAAAAATTTTTAATGTGTTTTTAATTTAGTTTTTCTTAAGATTTTAAGACTGACAAATATTTTTGTTTTATTTATGAATCTAACTAAAATTTTTAATTGCTTTCAATTTTTCCAATAATATTGAGTTAAATTTAAGTTGAACAGACTAAACTTTTTTAAAAAAAGAATTAGTCCAGGCCTTGCTGGTTTGGTTCAGTGGATAGAGCTTTGGCAGACCAGCACACCGAAGGGTCATGGGTTTGATTCTCGGTCAATGGCACATACCTTGGTTTTGATTCAATCCCTGGCCTGGTCAATGTCAGGGTCATGTGGGAAGCAACCAATCAACATGTCTCACGTCAACGTTTCTCTCTCTCCCACCCTCGCTCCCTCACTCCCACTCTGTCAGGGGGAAAAAAAAACAATAAAAAAATATCTCCAGGTGAGGATTTTAAAAAAATAATCTGGCTCTGGCTGGTTTGGCTCAGCAGTTAGAACGTCGGCCTGCGGTCTAGAGAGACCCGGGTTCAGTTCCTGCTAAGGGCATGTACCTCGGTTGCAGTTTGTCCCCGGCCCTGGTTGGTCGTGTGGATGGCAGCCACTCGATGTGTCCCTTTCACATCGATGTTTCTCTCTCTCTCTCTCATCCTCTCTCTCCCTCCCACTCTATCTGAACAAAAAATGGGAAAATGTCCTCGGTTGAGGATTAAAAAATAAAAAAAAATTAAAAAAAAATCTGTCCCATTTATGTTAGACAAATTTTCTCAAATTTAGTATGCTTTTATCAATTTTTTTTTCTTTTCTTTTTTTTTTTTTTATCCTCACCTGAGGACATTTTTTGATATTTTGTTCAGATAGAGAGGGAGGGGGAGAGAGAGAGAGAAAGAGAAACATCTTGACATGAAAGGGACACATCGAGTGGTGGTTGCCACCCACACAACCCAACCAGGGCCAGGGACAAACTGCAACTGGGGTACGTGCCCTTAGCGGGAACCGAACCCGGGTCTCTCCAGACCGCAGGCTGACACTCTAACCGCTGAGCCAAACTGGCCAGGGTTATGCTTTTATCAATCTAACGTGTTATTTTTGAGCACTTTCAAACGTTCCCAAGTATGGAAACAATTCTTCTAAATCCGATAAATTTAAATAAATATGGTGACCTTTAACATTTCTTCAACTATTCTAATGTAGTCTCTTATATCCTTCCAATTAAAATAACATATCTCAAGTCAATTACTCAATCACACATATTTTATTGAGGTATAACTGACATACAGCATTATATTAGTTTCAAGTATACAACATAATGATACGATATTTGTATATATTACAACATGCTTACCACAATAACATTTATCACTATACTCATACCTAGATTTTTTTCTTGTAATGAGAACTTTTGTTCTTTTTTTTTTTTTAATCCTCACCCGAGGACATTTCTCCATTTTTTGTACAGATAGAGTGGGAGGGAGAGAGAGGAAGAGAGAGAGAGAGAGAAACATCGATGTGAAGGGACACATCGAGTGGCTGCCACCCGCACGACCAACCAGGGCCGGGGACAAACTGCAACCGAAGTACATGCCCTTAGCGGGAACCGAACCCGGGTCTCTCCGGACCGCAGGCTGACACTCTAACCGCTGAGCCAAACCGGCCAGGGCTGTGATGAGAACTTTTAAGATGTACTCTCTTGCCTGGCCAGTGTGGCTCACTGGTTGAGTGTCAACCCATGCATCAAGAGGTTTCCAGTTTGATTCCCGGTCAGGGTACATGCCCAAGTTGTGGGCCAAATCCCCAGTGGTGGCCATGCAGGAGGCAGGCAATTGATGTTTTCTCTCATTGATGTTTCTATCTCTCCCTCTCCCTTCCTCTTTCTCTAAAATCAATAATAAAAAAAATAATTTGCCCTGGCCGGTTTGGCTCAGCGGTTAGAGGTCAGCCCGTGGACCAGAGAGTCCTGGATTCGGTTCCCGTTAAGGGCACGTACTTCAGTTGCAGTTTGTCCCTAGCCCTGGTTGGGGTTGGGTGGCAGCCAGTCAATGTGTTCCTTTCACATCGATGTTTCTCTCTCTCTCCCTCCCTCTTTTCCTCCCGCTGTATCTGAAGATAAATGCAAAAATGTCCTCAGGTGAGGATAAAATAAATAAATAAATATCATTGATGATGGGCAAAATGAGTCTTTTTTTCCCTAAGTCATTATGACAAGGAGAAACTCAAGCCCATTTCATAGAGATGGAATTAATTTCGCCACCCATATGACTTTTGCCTGATTTGGGTGAATGAAATGATCATTCCCTACCTTCGTACTTGGTTTTCTAATCCATCTACTAATGATTGAATTTGGCATTTGTTTCAAATACTTGTTTGTCTTCTGGCCAGAATATCAAGAGCATTGTAGTGACATATTCCAATGAAATTTGCATAAATCTGTGAAAGGTTAGTCCTTGAAAAAAGAGGAGTTATTTCCAGGGTATATCACTAGCCACTTATTTGTAGTTGATACCATGAGCTGCAACTCTCATGATAACGTGCTTGGGATCACTATAAAAAAGTCCTGTTCTTCAAACTCAAGATGCAGTTTCTTTATTTTATTGTTAGGAGAGAGTGGGAATTCATTCCCCCACTACCACAAATTATGCAGTTGAGTTTACCACATTTGGGGAAATCACAGGGGTCAGCACATCCAGAGTGCAAGAGTTAAGCCTCGCCCTGAGAAAACCACCTTCATGATCATGGTATCTCCCCTGCCAGGTAAGTGTATTTTTTAAATTTTTATTGATTGACCAGAGAGAGAGGGAGAGATTTGTTGTTCCACTTATTTGTGCATTGATTGGTTGATTCTGTGCTCTTACTGGGGATCCAACCTGCAACCTTGTATCATGGTGACACTCCAGCAAACTGAGCTATCTGGCCAGGGTGAGCAAGATACAGTTTCTTTCTTTCTTTTATTTATCCTCACCAGAGGACATTTTTCCATTTTTTTTGCTCAGATAGAGTGAGAGGGAGAGAGAGGAAGAGAGAGTGATCAAAAGGAAAGGGACACATCGAGTGGATGCCTCCTGCACGACCCAACCAGGGCCGGGGACACCACAACCAAGGCATGTACCCTTAGCGGGAACTGAACCTGGGTCTCTCTGGACTGCAGGCTGACACTCTAACCGCTGAGCCAAACTGGCCAGGGCAAGATACAGGTTCTTAAGAGCCTATGTGAACTAGATAAGGAAACAATTGATTTTTTTTTTTTTTTTTGGTGGTATGTGCCCCTAGCAGGAACCGAACCCGGGACTCTCTGGTCCACGGGCAGATGCTCAACCACTGAGCCAAACTGGCCAGGGCAACACATTGATTTTTTTTTTTTTCCTAGTTTAATCTATGGTCAAAAAAGTAGAATGTTTTGGATTTCCCATAGTTAAGACAATTTAAAAAATTAAGGAGTGCTCATGAATAAAGTGATAATATAGCCCATTTGTCCATCCGATGTACAAAAAGTTTGCCAAAATACTTTTAGAATAAAAAATGAAAAAATTTGCCCTGGCCAGTTTGGCTCAGCAGTTAGAGCATTGGCTCGCAGTCCAGAGAGACTGGGGTTTGGTTCCTGCTATGGGCACGTGCCTAGGTTGTGGTTTGTTCCTGGCTCTGGCTGGGGTTGTGTGGGAGGCAGCCACTCGATGTGTTCCTTTCACGTCGATGTTTCTCTCTCTCTCTTCCTCTCTTTTCCTCCCACTCTGTCCTTGGGTGAGGATAAAAAAAAAGAAAGAAAGAAAAAATTCAATACATTATAACTTAAAATATAATTTAGAACACAGAGTTTTATCAGTGAAATGTACCATTCACTGATTCACTCAATAAATATTCAGTGCCTTTAGAATTTTTAGTTCTCTGCAGGACAGTTTGTGAGTACAAAATAAATCAAAAGCACAGTCTCTTGCTTTCAAGAGTTTCCAGTTTAGCCCTGGCCGGTTTGGCTCAGCGGTTAGAGCGTCGGCCTGTGGTCCTGAGAGACCCGGGTTCGGTTCCCGCTAAGGGCATGTACCTCGGTTGCAGTTTGTCCCCGGCCCTGTCGGTTGTGTGGGTGGCAGCCACTCGATGTGTCCCTTCACATCAATGTTTCTCTCTCTCTTTCTCTGTTCCCTCTCTCCCTCCCACTCTACCTGAACAAAAAAATGGGAAAATGTCCTCGGGTGAGGATAAGAAAAAAAAAAAAAAGAGTTTCCAGTTTAGTTAGAGAATATCTGAAAGAAAAAAAACCATGTTCAAGATAGTGTTTTGTATTGTATTAAGATTTCATATGAGCCAGGCTGGTGTGGTCAGTGGTTGAGCATTGACTCATGCACCAAGAGATTGCCAGTTCGATTCCAGGTCAGGTCACTGCCTGGATTATGGGCCAAATCACCAGTTGGGGGAATGCAGGAGGTGGCCAATCAGTGTTCTCTCTCATCAATGTTTCTCTCTCTCTCCCGCCCTCTCCCTTACTCTCTCTAAAACCAATAAAGAAGCCCAGCTGGTGTGGTTCAGTGCTTGAGGATCGACCCATGCACCAAGAGGTAACTGGTTCAATTCCTGGTCAGGGCATTTGCACAGGATGTAGGCTAAATCCCCAGTGGAGGGCATGCGGGAGGTGGCCAATCAATGTTCTCTCTCATCGATGTTTCTCTCTCTCCCTCTCCCTTCCATTCTCTCTAAAATAAATTTTTAAAAAAAGTAAAATAAAATCAATAAAGAAAAAAAAAAAAGGTTATACAAGAACTCCTTGCCTTGAACATCATAGTATTAATAATAGCATATAGCACTTCACAGTTTACAAGCCATTTGCTGTATATTATCCCTCTTATTCTTCTAGATCTGTATTAATTTATTTGAATTGAATAATATAAATTGATGTGATCAAACTATAAAAAAAAAGTGATCACAGGATATTATTTTAGAAGCAGCTGGTTGATGTAGGTCATCAGAGTAGTTGAGTATTTTTTTCAACATTTTATTATGCAAATTATCAAACAGAGAGTTGAAAGAATAATACATACACACACCACCTATTTTACATTTAATATTTTGCAATACTTGCTTTATCACTTCTCTATCCACCTACCTACTCATGAAGTTTAATTTTTAATGCTTTTCAGAGTAAATTATAGATACCAGTATACTTCATTCCTAAACATTGCATATTTTGAACTAGAGTTTAAATTCTTTTTTTATTAGACAAATTTTACATACAGTAAAATGGACACATTTTAATTTTACTAATAGATGAGTTTTGACAAATGCACATAAATTGGGTGATATTTATGTTATTTAAAATGAAGGAATGACAGAGGCAGGAATAGAGAGCTAGAGAAAGCAACATATTTTATCCCAAAATACCCTGACTTGATAACCAGAGAATGGATAAAACATTACAAATTAGGAGATGTTTATAAACATCTGCTAACAGAAACAAAAAGAAATGCAATCAAACATAACATTGCAAAATATTTGGGATTTAAGCAAATCTACCCATAGAAAGGAAGATCCTGCTGATAAGGCATCACAAGATGGAGCTATAACTTAAAAAGGATAGATTGGGGGAGAAACAAATAAAAGCATCAACCCACAGTGATTCTGAATGAAAAGCTTGTGTTTACATCAGTGAATGGCCATATACAATGAATAGCCCAGAAAGACAGCATTTCTTTTTTTTTTTTGGTACGGGCCCGTAGTGGGAACCAAATCCGGGACTCTGGTCCGCAGGCCGACGCTCCAACCACTGAGCCAAACCGGCCAGGGCAAGACAGCATTTCAGAAAGGATGTAGCTAGTAGGCTCCGTGTTTTTGGAGCTGGAAAAAAAAAAAAAAAAAAAAGGTCCTTAGTAATCATTTTCTGGAGGAGACCCAAAGAGATATGACTTGTCCAAACATCTATAAATAACCAAGTCCTACATCAATATATAAAAGAAGCACCAGAGTTGGAATATGTGCAGCATGAACATAACTTGTATGCAGTGGTTGTAAAAGAAATGAGATGTTGGCAAGAATGTGGAGAAAGTGGAAGCCTCAGACATTGCCAAACAATATAAAATGGTGCAACTGTTTTGGCAAACAGTTTGGCAGTTCCTCAAAACATTAAATGTATAACCCAGCCATTGAACTTCTAGGTATAGACAAAAGAAACATGTTTCAAACCAATACTTGTACATAAATGTTCATAGAAACACTATTCAAAATATCAGAAAAATGGACACAACTTAAATATTCATTAATTTCTGAATTAGTAAACTAAAGGTGGTATATCCATACAATGGAATGTTACTCAATAAAAAGGCAATAAAAAGGAATGAAATATTGATACATGCTACAAAGTGGATGAATTTTGAAAATATGCTAAGTGAAAGAAACCAGATACAAAAAGTTACATATTATATAATTCTATTTATATGAAACATTCAGAATAGGTAAACTCAAAGAGACAGAAAGCAGACTAGTGGTTGCCAGGGGGTGGGTGGAGGTGGCTACTTAATGGGTATGAGATTTTCTTTCGTAGTGATGAAAATGTTCTGAAACTAGATAGTAGTGATGATTGCACAGTATTGTGAATTTGGTAAATACCAAAAATTGTACAACTTGCCCAGCCAATGTGGCTCAGTGGTTGAGCGCCAAGCCAGTATTGCTCAGTGGTTGAGTGTCCACCCATGCACCAAGAGGTCACCAGTTCAATTCCGGTCAGGGCACATGCCCAGATTGTGGGCCCAATACCCAGTGGGGTCATGCAGGAGGCAGCCAATCAGTGTTTTCTCTCATCGATGTTTCTATCTTTCTCTCCCTACCTCTCTCTAACATCAATAAAGAAAAAATAGGACTTCCGGTCAAGATGGTGGCATAGGTAAACGCGGTATCGCGTCCTCCCACAACCACATCAAAGTTACAACTAAATTACAGAACAACCATCATTCAAAACCGCCTGAAATCAAGCTGAATGGAAGTCCTACAACTATGGAATTTAAAAAAGCAGCTACATCCAGACTGGTAGGAGGGGCGGCAGCGCAAGGGGAGGTGGCGGTGGCGCGATGGGCCGGTCCCACACCCACGTGTGGCGGATAAAAATCAGGAGGCTCCCGCGGCTGGGAAGGTCCTTCCTGAGGACTGAGGGGTCCCCGTCCCACACCAGGTGCCCCGCTCAGGGTTCCAGTGCCAGGAAGAGAAGTCCCCATAACTTCTGGCTGGAAAAACCAGCGGAAACTGAGGCTCAGGGAAGCTGGCGGCTGGAGCCCCAGGCAGCTCCCTAAAGGGCCCGCGCACGGACTTATCGGACTCTCTCCCTCTAAGCTTGGAGGGGAGGCAGCTCGAGGGGCGCCAGAGACACACAGGGAAGAACTGAGCTGTTTGGCACTGGAGTAAGGGCTGGAGAGGGGGCTTTCTCGGGGACAAACGTGCTGTAAGAGGCCTTTGTTCCTTTGGTGAGCCCTTCCCTGGGGCGGCAGACAGCCTCCATATCTGGGACTCCAGCAACCTGGCTCACACTGGTAGCCCCGCTCTGGTGACTCCCTGAGGCCCCGCCCCACCCCACCCAACTTTCAAGCCCACCCAAGCTGTTGCCAGTTGCTTAACCATAGGATTGGCCCGTCTTGGATCCTGCTTCAGGTTTTTCCTAAATTCTTTCAAACGAGCAGCATCGGGTCTCAGCGAGCCCCATACCTCTCATTAAGTAATACACTGAAACAAACACAGGGAGGCAGCCAAAATGAGGAGACAAAGAAACAGGTCCCAAATGAAAGAACAGAAC